AATGTTGAGAGATAGAGAGATTGATAGACCGACAGATCGATGGATCGATAGAACGGTAGATCAATAGATCGAGAGAGAAGGGGGAGAGAGAAAACCAAATTATGCAATATCTATATTATATATATATATGTATATGTGTGTGTGTGCGTGTGTGTGGTATCGTCCAGTCCAGAGCTGAATGCAGTGTATCAGAACTTGTTATCGAGTTCATAGAAGTTGTCCACGTTTCACAGAAGCTGTCACCAGTTCACAAGCCCCCTAACAACGTTCGTGATCAACTGCTGTGGAATGGACGGCTCTAGCTCCAGCTCTCAACGATACTACCCCAATATGTATAATATATATATTATATGTGTGTGCGTGAGTGTGTTTTATATATATATGTGTGTGTGTGCATTTATTTATTTATCTATTTGCTTATTTATTTATTTAATTCATTTATTCATGTATTTATGTTTATTAATCTATACGTGCATATATGTGCGTATATCTATAAATCTGTGTGGGCAAACACGGATACAAACACATATCACTAGTCTTTTAGTCGATGGGCTCCTCATCCACTTGAAATCCAAACATGGACCGCTTGACAATCCTTCTTGAAATTCTATGAGCTGAAACCCATCATCATAACCCATCCAAACACAACAAAATGTCACGGATCAAATGCCCCCATCAATATCATCAATCAGATCAATCAGGCACCAGCAATCAAACATGGCAATGAAATACCATTCATCTGGGTAAATTGTAATATTTCACTAGCCTGAATCTTGCGGCCATTTGCGGATCATTTCCCTATAAAAAACCATGATTCCAGGGCTCGGTCACAGTGAGGTCGTTATAATTTACCCAGATTCATTGATAGATGATTTTCTCAGCTAGAAACCTCCATTTTGCATTGGGAATTTCCCAGCCATCGAGGATGCCGGAGGGCATATCCATTGGTCCATCATAGGGTGTGGTCTCCCGTGAAGAAATCCCATTGTTATCCCATGATTATCCCATGTTCATCTCTACATTAAACATTATTAAACCAATTAAACCGTATTATACCCAATATGATCGCATGATTATCCCTACTAAACTGGTTTTAAACCAATGATGCGAGAATATGAGAAACCTATGAAAAACAATGATTATCCTTATTATTATACCAATATGATCCCTACTAAACCATACGAAAACCATGGATTTTCTTTGTTCCCCAAGTTATCCAAGTTCTCCAAAATTTGCGTTCCGAGTTCCCCGAACGCAGCGCAGTTCCGTCACCAGCATCGCCCATCGCCCGGCCGGTCTCGGTCTCGGGGGGTCCGGCAGCGACATCCAAAGAACCATCAGCAATGTGGTGCCCCATAGTTAGCTAAGTTGGTTTATAACTTCAATAACTATGGTTTATTGTAGATATCTATAGTTAATGGGGTTTATAAACCAATTTATAACTAGGGGGGCCCACATTGAGGGGACTTTCGGGGCAAAAGAATGCCGAAGTTTTTTGATGTTTTTTGGATGGTTTATGGATGGGTTTTTGGATGCTTTTGGCTGGGTTTTTGGATGGTTTTGGCGGGTTTCCATGGGTTTGGGATGCCTCTTTAAATATCTTGAAATGAAGATCATTAAGGCTTCGAAACAAGAAATTTTGGAAACACGTCAGCGCTTTTTCACCAAGCAAAACAGGGATGTTCATCGCATCTGCGGGGGTGTTCTCTTTTGGTTTGTCTCAAATTAGGGTACCCGGGTACCCCAAATTTGATGTTTAAATATGGTTCGCCAATAGTTCGCCAATGAAAACTTCAAACTCGTCGTTTTGGGGAGAATTACCCCATTTTCAAGGGATTTTCCCCGGTATACCCCATTAAAACAAGGGTTCTTTGATTCTTATACCATCTTTGCCTTCCTCGAGTGCCACGTCTTGATGTTTCTTGCTGGAAGTCACCAAAGTCACCGAAGGCGATTTTTCTGGTCGTTGCTCCGTCATTGCCACGAATTTCTGACGAAGCTGGAGGGGTCCTGGAGTGTGAAATTATTGTACAATAATGGATGGAACTAGATGCTAGCCACCAGATGTTATTGTAAATATGACTGTCAAATTATTGTTCCATCTACTAGCATCTTCTAGCCACCAGACATAGATGGAACACATCCGTCACTTCCGTCGCCTGGGGCCCCGACTTTGAAAGGAGACGAGTTGGACAGAGCACTTTGGCCCCAGCGTCATTGGATCCACGGAACCCTTTGGCTCTTTGAGATACCAAAATTGTGGGAAACCCTCCAGCTGATCGGAATTCTGACTCAAAAAGTGTTTACTCAAAAAGCAACAAGATCCAGAAGTCAATGGGTCATTGGTATTCATTGGTCACTATTTTCCTGGGATTTCACGATTCTATCCTTTTTTGATAATTTTGGGCGGATGAATAATATACGTGGCTTACGAAAATCCAGCACAACTCACCTCCAGCTGGTTAGGATTTCCAAGCAAACATGGATTCCTATGGGATTGTGATAATCCCCAATATATAAAAGATTTTAAAAAAACATCTGGTAACAAACATAACTGTGGAAAGATCCACCATTTTGTAGCTGGATAAATCAACTATTTCGACTCCGCAATTTTCAATCGTTTTTTGTAAGTTTACCGAAGGGCAACTATTAACCATTAACCATAGATTATCCATATATTTTTCCATGGATTAACCATTTATAGATGGTTCACCAAAGGGTCAACCATAATCATTCACCAGGGTGGGTTGAACACTGCTGTCGCCCAAAAAGGCGTCTTGAGCCGATGCTTGGGACATCTTGGAACTTGGATCCCCTCCCATCAAACCTTTAATACCCTGTCAACAAGCATTATTTGTAGTACAAAAATTTGCGTGTATATCTCATAATTTATACATATATATATACATTCCTCCATCAAGATAGCAGTAAAAACACAGACATTAATCTACCAACAAAGGATTTCCACAGACTGGACAGTGTCTACCTCAGACTTTCAACCCGGGCCACCAAAAACCCGTGGTGCAGCTTGCAAAAGGCAAGCTATCATGTGGCATTTGAACGCAACCAAAATCCCGCCCGTCTCTGTATATTAATAACCTCCTAGAATCCTAGAACCCTCTGATTTAGTGCTGGATATATTTTCGTTGGGGTCCATTTGTTCTGAGTATTTCAATGACTACCTTCAGGTAATCAAACATGGAGGAAAATCCGCAGTTAGTTCCAGGATCTTTTTCTCATGTTAACCTGCAGCACACTAAGAATCAGAATCCCAAGATCCTCTGGTGCCACCCCACGAATCATAGATTTGACCCGGCCTGGTAAACTAACCAAAAGCTATTGAGGCCATTGCCATAGAAATAGTGAGTTTTCCCATGAAAAATGGTGGATCTTTCCATAGTTTTTTGTCAGTTTACCAGAGGGTAAAGTGCCACCACAAAAACATCCTCTTGGCAGCTTCCAAAAGATCCTGGCAGAGTCTACCCCAACAGTTTTGGACCTGAAAAATCCACACCTCCAGAGGTCAACAGCACCCCCCCTGGGCATGAACTACTCATCCCTGGGTGTGACCAAACAATAATGCGTATAATATCCCAACCCTTTGTTGGTTCATATCAATTTATATATATATGTGTGTGTATATGTGTATATATACATATTTATATATATATATCAATTATATATCCAGATTGTTTGAAATCATGTTTGGTTCCCATTATGCTATGGCTATGGGCCTGGAAACTGATCGGTATGGTAACTCGACTCATCCCAAACATTTTCCCCAACCATCACCGCCAACGCCCCCCCTTCAGGGAATGGCGTAGCCGTCGCGAAAACGTGAGACGATCCATTCCGAAATACTCCGGCATTTCGAAGACTGGGAGCCATGAACTTTGGTTCAATCATATCCTTTTGGTACAATGTGGTACCCCCAAGATAGCTAAGTTGGTTTACAACTCCCATAACTATGGTTTATGGATGTTTATGGTACTTATAACTATAGTTATTGGGGCTTATAAACCAACTTATAACTGGGGGGCCCCACATTGTAAAAATATTTCGGGGCCGGTTTGTGGTTAATCCATGTTAATCCCATCTATCATCATAGAAACCTGTTGTTTTTCAGGGGGTTCAACAAAGCCCTCTTTTCTCATCAACCAACCAATGGGAATTTGGGACATCTAAGCTTTGGTTCAGGCGGACCCTTTGGTCAAACATGGCAAAAATCCACCATGGGGACATTTTTGTTGGGGGAAGATCATCGACATCAATGGGTGATTGTCCGGCATGCCATGTTTGATTCCCAGAGGATCTAAAAGTAAAAAACTGGAACTTCCCACAAATCCGTGGAAGCTCTTCATTTTTCTCGCAAAAAAAAAAAAACATGAACCATGAACGAGTATCATGAAATCATGTATCATAAAGGTGGCCATTCCATTTCCTTCACGATAAAAAACCATGGATGTTTCATGGCTCCCAGCTGAAAATGATCACGTCCTTGTCCACGCCTCGGTCGAAACAAACATCCGAGTTGGCGCTGAAAAATTCCCATGGATATTCCCATGAGACCCGGCCTGGTAAACGTTAACAAAAAGCTATGGAAAGATCCACCATTTTTAATGGGAAAACATCTATTTCTATGATCCATTTTCCATAGCTATGTGACAAATTACCAGAGAAAATCCCATGGTTCCATATGTCTCTAGCATTTTTGCCGGTTAAATCCACGAAAAATCCCGAAAAAAGTGAGCTGGAAATCATGTGCAGCTGCCCCATGAAGATCCACATCGAGACGGCTGATGAAAATCCACCGGTTATAGCTACCAACATCATCCATCTAGCTGAATTCCAATCTCAACCCCGGATAAAAATGAAGCCCAATATCATTTCATATACACAGATTTCTAGTGCTTGCAATGTCTTAACATTGAATTTGAAGGTTTTGTTTTTGGGGTTTACCACTGGCAATACCCCATCTTCTCCGGGAAACCGCTCGCCACTCAGTCACATGTTTAAAGCTCAAAGTCAGTATATATAAATTATTACAAATTCATGTTACCAAATACAATATCAATCAATCAACAAACGATCAGAAAACCATGGCTTTTACCTTAAATCTCCACCCGACGCCCCGTGTTTTTTCTCGCGAATCTCCAGCGTTCGCTCGCCGGCTCTCTCCCAGACCGCCCCCTCGCGCAGCCGCTGTGCCCGCTGCCGCAGCACCGGCACGTCGTGCGGCAAACGCCAGCGCTGAGGCTGCTCGCGGAACTCGAACTGGCCTCGGTACGGGGCCAAAATGCTTGGTCTAAGCGGGAATTGATAAGAATGGTGATGTGATGCCCCATGATTTCCCAGCAACATTTGGATTTCGGTGAAAATTGTAATTTAACCAACAACAAAATGAGATTTGGCCAGAAAATGGATTCAACTATATACATCTATGTACTAAAATAAATGATGGTTTTACTGACATAAGATTGGATTTCCCCTGTGTAAGCAACAAAAACGAGGATGTAAGGATAACAAGTTGATGATGGGATGTAGTCTGATGGCTATTTTGAACTAGGCCAGGTGCAGTTACCAGCTAGCCACCCCCCAAAAAGACTTAGCAAAAGATCGAATTTGCCATTATTTTTAGTGGGATTATACCAAATTCTGTCTTTTTGGGAGTTGCTATGTATACCCAGTCAAATGATGATAAAGAGGAGACTAAGAATTACAACAGGATTCAATAATGTTGCGTCAATGATGTCTCATAGTTGAAATTCCAAACTAGGATTAAGTAAATAGCATATTAATGACCACAGAAAGCATACTAAATACTATGGATCAATCACAAAAAATGATCATTTTTATCCCTACTAATAATGAAACACCACAATGAACAAACACAGATACGTAGTTGATACGTAACCTTGAATAAACCCACGATGCGTCTGTTTAAAGATTGTAAACTTCTCCCATCACAATCGTCATCCTGGATCCTCATCATGCTTGCAACCACCGAGCAGTACAAAACGAAGAAAACTAGGGGTTAACTCGAATTTACCCTCTGGTAAACTAACATAACTATGGAAAATCACCATGTTCAATGGGCAGTTCCACTATAAATGTGCAATTTTCAATATATTTTTTTAAACATAACCAGAGTGTACTTCAACTCAGAACTTTACCAACTACCAATGTGTGCGTGTCTGTGCCACCAACAAATCATCCTCAACAGCTGCAGTGTTGGCTGCCAAACTTCCAACACAAAAATCGCTCAATGACGTGTAAAAACTCCTAAAAAAACCGCCCATTGAAACGTGGAAAAGATGTGGAAAAATGATGTTCTCATCCACTTATTTAAAAAAAATGGGGGGTGCTGTTCCCCGAAATCTTCACGTATATGACCTCTGGGCTCTTCGACCAAGTTGCAGCTCCATTTGCGGCAGCCGCTGAGACTGAAGACGGCGTCGAAGAAGCCCACGGGAATCTCCCTCAGCACAGTGGTGAGTTTGGGGACCCTTTAATGATCCGTGAAGTCAATTACTCATACCCTCTGGTAAACTAACATAACTATTGAAAATGGCCATTTATAGTGGATTTACCCATTAAAAATAGTGATTTTCCATAGCTATGTTAAATTACCAGAGGGTAAGTCTAGCAAGCCCAAAATAGATCGAAAAGCGAGAAACCTGGTAAACACATCAGGTTTCCCAAAAATCACCCAAGTAACATCCATTGGTAGCACGATTTGGCATCTTTTTTTGGGGGCTGGTTATCAATGGTACAGTAACATCCAGTTGGTCTTCTCTCGGTACCATCTCCATCGGATCCCTGTCATCTTGACTTCATGATCCAAGAAGCTTCCTCCCGACAATCCATCCATCCATGTGTGGTTTCATATGGCTTTTATGTGTCATAAACCATCCATAAACCATCCCATTGACCATCCCATTGACCAGGCATTTCGGGGACTCAAAAACCATCCATTTGGGGATGGTGACCCAATTGCAGCCCGGCTGCAGCCAGAAACACACCGAGGCGAGAAGTTCCTAGATTCACCGGAGATTCACTAAGTTGGAAGGAAAATGGAGATTGACCGTAGCTGCCGTAGCTGATTTGATAGCTACCCTCTGGTAAACTGTTACATAACTATGGAAAGATCCACCATTTTTCATGGGAAAACTCACTATTTCTATGGCCATTTTCAATAGCTATGTAACAAATTACCAGAGGGTAAGTTGGGTATATAAAGAAGATAAAACTAGGGTGTGTGATGGTGTATGGCCGATATATCGGCCATAGATGAAACTAAACTAGCTTGCAACTGGAAAGCACCACCTTGCCATCAAAAAACATGATCATCCAGTAGGTGTTCCCCAACCACCAGGCAACCCTTCCTTCTACCAACGTGGTCCCTTGTACGACTTGATACGACTTGTAGCTTGGTTTCTGTTCACGCCATCAGGTATAGTTCGATATACCATACACCCAATCCCAATTGTCTATAACATCAATCAATTCCACTACAATGTCACTACAAATCACGAGATCTATCTTTTTCTGGCTGAAATCAGCCAAAAAAAAACGGTGAAATCCACCGCGGTTCCATCCCCACCCCATCCCCACCTCTGGTTCCAGGTAGGGCTGCCAAATGACGCCCTTTCGCAGCATCCACCAGCGCCCAAAGTACGCCTCCGCCCACTGCCGCGGCACCGTCCCGTGCCAGTCGTTCATCGCAAAAAAGCCCTCCTGTCGGTCACAACGAGGGAGGCTTCAGGGCTTGGATTTTCGCCGGTGTTTCTTGGGGTTTCACCAGAAACTGTGGTTTAACCATGGTTTAACCCGTAGAAATGAGGATTTCACCAAGAAAGTTACGATTTAGCCAACACAAATGTGGAGCCAACAGAAAGCCCCAAAATTGCCATGATACAGGAATGATGACATCCAAAATGGATGTTTTACGGCCTTTTAAAGGGTGGATTTCTGGGGCTATCTGTGGCAGAAAAACCATTGGTATCGAAGCCACCATTTTGCCGGAACATCATGGGATTACACTGGAAAATCTATGGAAATGTGGTGATTAGACTCGAGAAAAAACTGCCAACATATTAACATTACAGATGGATTTGGTTATAAAATGTTATAAATAGCGAGTGTTTTTGCGCTGTTAATTGACAGAAATGGCACTAATTGATCCCTACCCACTCATATTCAAGGCATTCCACCTCGCAGAACCTTGAGTATTGGATCGATTCATGAATTCAGGTCCCAGTCCTGGACTGCATTTCATATTACCATCTGGTTATTCAACAGTTTGCCATGGAAAGATCCACCATTTTTCATAGGTAAACCAACTATTTCTATGGGCCATCTATACCATGGCTATTTTGACATATCCAGAGGGTAATAATCTTAGGGGGAAAGGATCGACTTGGATGGACCGTCCGGTTCTGTCTATCAACAACCAGGTGGTGCAACAAATATGGACGGTACGTATTAAAAGGCCGCTTTCTTCAAGGCCGCACAAAATGCACAAAGGAGAAAAGAGAAAAAAACAATCTCACTCCAAGATTTTTGGATGTCAACAAAAATTAGAAACACATCGGAAAAGATCGGACAAAAAATGGACAGAATCAAAATAAAACACAGGTGGCTTCGGAGGCACCTGGGTCCAAAGCATTGGTGGTTCCACGACGTGGCTTCTGAAGCCAAAAAATCCCACCAATCGATGGGCTATTGGGCCATGGTTAAACAGTTACAGTCAGCTACAAAAAATCATCAAAGGTCAACCAACATCAACCAACTACCCTCTGGTTATGTCAAAATAGCTATTGAAAATGGCCATAGAAATAGTGAGTTTTCCCATTAAAAATGGTGATTTTCCATAGCTATGTTAATTTACCAGAGGGTAACTGGTGAACCACTTTACTGAAGTAGTATGGTTGATGGATACTTCACTTAATTGTCTTAATTGAGTGGTGAGTTTAAGCCAGAAAAAACATCAGTTACCCATGGATACGTGCTTTAACCATAGATGTCCTTTCTCCATTGGTTGGTTGATGAAAAAAAAGATGGGGTTCTTCAGAAACCCCTTTTAACAACAGGTAAATGATGATAGATGGTATACCAGCTCCCGGCCCCTCTATTTTTACCAAAAGGACATCAAATTGGATACTATATGATACTATATATGTTAGGATTATACTGGGATACCAATTTTTTGTTGATGTTAGGATACTGTTGATAAGGCCAAACATATGGTACTAACGTACCCCCATCTGTTGGATCCTGGAGATCTCCCATGGATTTAACCCGCCTTGTGCCCTTGCGCCGCCGCCAGTGGTACCGTCCAGATGCCGTCCGGAGGCTCCAAGAGATGCAGCGGCGGATGATTCGCCACCTGCAAGAAGAGACACCCTAAAAAAAACATCGGGGCTGGTTGGTGGTTGAGCCCTACCCCACTGAATAAGTGGTTGGTTAATGGTTAATAATGGTTAATAGTGGTTGATCATTGGTTAATCATTGGCTAAAACATAGGCTGGTTGGTGGTTGAGCTTCCCCTCTGGCATTGGCTGTGTTGGTGGCAGCGAGCATGAGAAACGATACCGGCGCTACAGGCTGGTTATTTCCAAGCTTGACAGACTCCGGCTGCCAACGCGTGCTGCAGAGTGATTCACAACGCTCCCCACTGAATAAGTGGTTGGTTAATGGTTAATAATGGTTAATAGTCTATAGTGGTTAATGATGGTTAATCATTGGCTAAAACATAGGCTGGTTGGTGGTTGAGCCTACCCCCCTGAAAAATGATGGAGTTTGTCAGTTGGGATGATGACATTCCCAACTGAATGGAAAGTCATAAAATTCATGTTCCAAACCACCAGCCAGTAAATATTATCAGGGGGGACGGATCAATCAGCTTGATAAATCATATGGAGAAATATGCATAGTATATGGATAAATCAGCATCGTGAAATAACGAGATCAACGTCACCAACCCCAATTTATTTCCCCAGCGTTCAAGACGAGCCACCCAAATGAGGTCCAGGCGACTGTATATCACCCAACCTGCCGAAAAGACGCGCGCGAGTTATCTGGAAGGATGCGGGGTAGCCTCTGGAAAATTCTCCTTGACCATGAGAAAACCCCGCAAATTGAATGGGATTTGTGATCGAAATAGTGCAAAAATGAATGTTTCTGTGTGGAATGTAGGATGCATGATTATGAAAAGGCACCTAAAAAATGAAGAAAGTAATGAGCAATCGACGTTTCTGTGATTTACCATTGCCGGGCTCAAAAAAAATGGGGAGAAACCACAGTCAATTCCGAAGTCGTGTTTTTCCCAATGGAGTTCGAAGTGTTCAACCCAAAAATGTAGCCAGCTGATTCCAGGTTCCTTTGTCAACCCCAAATCAAGGCTGAATCCGGGACAGCTCTTGGAAACAGTGCCCCCGAAAATATTCCGAAGAATTCACCAATTACCTTCTGGTAAACTAACATAGCTATTGAAAATGGCCATTTATAGTGGATTTTCCCATTAAGAATGGTGATTTTCCATAGTTCTGTTAGTTTACCAGAGGGTAAACCTCAAAAAAAATACATGGTTCCATCAGTGATACTTCCGTCAATCCAAAAAACATAAATGCCCCATCACCGAGATGTATATGTCCCATCACTGAGATTATACGTATAAATTTTCCATCAATGATCTTTCCATTGATGCCCACCCCATGCCCATCATCCGGACAAGCTGCGGAAGCGGCGCCGGCGCTTGCGCTCGTAGCTCTTCGTCCTCAGCACCGTGCTGGGGGCGCAGTGCTGGCCATGTGGGACGCCCAATTATCCATAACCATCCCATTAACGCACCATTTGGGGGTGACTTAAAATCATCCCAAATAGGGGTATAATATGGTATAAATACCCCACTGTTGAAAAATATCAGAGATGGTTCCAAGTTATAATGCCTATTACCATGGTGGTTGGCCCAAGTGATCGCCCGAAGATCGCCCAAGACGCATTTGCCAAACGATCTGCATCTTCCGCAGGGAATGCAGCTGCCCACCCAACTTGTTCCGCCGCAGTGGCGAGATGGCACCGCCCCCAAAGGTCTCCTCGGCTGAGTGGAGAAAAATCGGAAAAATAGGAAAAAAACACAAAAAATACAACCATTTCTGGATGATCAAAGGCATTTACATATGATTTAGATGACTCACCACCATTTATAGATATGTACATCTGATTTAAAAACATTTATGGATGATTAACAACCATTTGACGTTGATTGGAAGCCCTGTGATCATTTACTTGCCTTCTCTTCTCTCGTCCAATCTATCTAATCTGATCTATCTAAACCCGATCTAGTTAGAATTCAATCTAATGTATCATCTCATCCATTGGAGTTTATCAATCAGCCATCAATGTGATCTACCCTCTGGTAAACTAACATAGCTATGGAAAATCACTATTTTTTATGGGAAAATCCACTATTAATGGCCATTTTCAATAGCTATTTTGACATAACCAGAGGGTAATCATCTTTATTTATGGTAAATCTCATCCTGCTGGGGAAGGTCCCCCATCATATTGACTAACCCATCTAATCTTATGATGAATATCCCATGGATGAGATGATAGATTGATAAACATACATAAATATCCAGAAGGTCAGCTATAGCTATATAGTTCTAATCTAACTATCGCGGAGTTATAGATCCAATCATGGCAATAGAATTATCCATAATTGATATCATATCATATAGTTCTAATCATGGCATTAGAACTATCCAATGGAGCGGAGTTCTAATCATACCCCCTGGTAATTTAACATAGCTATTGAAAATGGCTATTTATAGTGGATTTACCCATTAACAATAGCGATTTACCATAGTTATGTTAGTTGTCCCATGGTTTTCCCATTTTCATCCCATCCATTGCGGAACTCCGCTCCCCGGGCTCCCCGTCCCACGCTGTACGGCACGGCCGTGGCGGCCACGGCACGTAGAGCAGCAGCGCCTTGGGCGCGATGGCCTTGCGCAGCTCCGTGTCCCGGAGGTCGCGCAGCCAGCGGAAGCCTGGGGGGTGAAAATGTCAACCCCGGATTAATAAAACATAGGGGGTTGGTACTAGGGTTTATCAATTAGGATGATTAGGGGTGTTGTATCATAATTTTAAAGGGTTGACATTAGATTAGTATCAATTCATTGTTGATGAATTAGCTGGGTATTCCCCGAATAGTCATGATTTGATACTTTTTCATGGTACCTTCCCAATTAAACAGCCGTAAACGGGGTTTATTAATCCAGGGTTGACAAGTTGACAGTATAGATTTATCGTGAGAAATAGAATGATAATGGGACAATATGATAATTATGATAAATTACTATAATGGGGCTTTATAATAAATTACTATGATGTTATTATAGATTATAGATTATCTCCTAATGCTGTTATTATGCTATCTATAAGCCATTTGTAATGCGACAATCTAGGAAAAAAATAGAGATCAGATATTTATCTTTGGATTTATTCATCCTAATAGAATATGATATTTATAAGCCATTTAGAATGGGATAATCTATAAATTATGAAAAATGAATGTGATAATTAAGGATAATGATGACATTTGTTGAAGTCATTTATAATAAGCCAATCATCAGTATTATCCCATTTGTTATGATATGCATAAGCCAAAATGGTGTTATTAAGATAATATTGGGATTACAAAAACGATAAGCTCCATTTATAGGTGATTATCATCCTAATGTTGTTACTATTATGACATTTATAAGCCATTTAGCATGGGACACTATATTAATTATGATAAATGAACTGGATTACAAATATTACAGTATAATAATAATGGGATACAATGGGATTCTACTATCCCATATTATATCCCATCATATCGGGATAATGGGATTACACCGGGATATTGTAGGCCCTAACGTTGCTATCATTATGATAATCCATCATTTTAGGGTAGGTGATGTTCCCATTAAAACCCCATTTAGAGGCGATTGTCATCCTAATGTTGTTGTTTGTGTAAAATAACTAATGGGATTACATATATTACTGTATAATGATCATAAGCTTATTATGCCTTTGTATTATCAAGAATGCCATTATTGTACTGGAATATCATTTAATTTTGTTATATATTCATAATCTCCATAGCAAGCCATAATGGGATTATAATATTTAAAAAGAAATCAATGGTATCATAATAATCATAAGGTTATTATGGTTCTTCATGGTTTTTATGCTCATCTTTGACATACGTATCGTATCAGTGATAGATCTGTTCTTCTAATAAATGTGTACTATGCTACTAATCATGCTGGATGGCTCAATCTCAATGGCACGTTCTTGACATATTTGAGGTATCTTCAGTGTCGATCCTATTTGATAATATCAGGTAGTTGCCCAGCGATCTGGTTTTACTCTGGCCATATACTATATAGCTTTTTGAATAGAGATGATACCTTCCCTACCAGGCTACAAGGTTTAGTCACCCTCCACGGAATTTATAATCCATTTTGCTAACGATGTATGATCCACTTAAATGGTTGGATTGTTGGATGGGAAAATAAATAAATAAATAAATAATAAATAAATAAATAGATATATATATACATATATTATATATACAGTATATGAGAATTCAACCAACCCTCAGGTTGGTGACCCCCCAAAAATGATATGTCAAGATTCAACCGGTTGTCGGGGATGAAGAAGCCATGATATCAAAAAAACATTTGGAACCTGCTGGTTGTTGCTATCAAATATCTTTTCTGTTTGGACATTTATATTTTAATCATTTTTAATCAACATATGAGGTTGTGAAAATATTGGGTATCTAAAACACTATTTATAAATCTTAATCAACATACGAGGTTGTGAAAATAGTGGCTATCTAAAACACTCTCTCAAGAATTCGTATGTGACCCTATCCATAGCGCTGGAACCGCCCGGTTTTATCTCAACCACGCTTCAGGAGTCCGGGGTTGACATGGCATGGTCCTGAGAATGTTTTGGAGGTTTTCCATGTTTTTTCCCATCATGTTCAGACCATATTTTGAAGGTACAAAATCGATGGTATTCCCGCATTCTCCCATATTCTCTACGCAATATTCCCAATATCTACCATTTTTGCTGGTTAACTCCACTCTGAACTTCTTAGTTTCGGGAAGTTTCCGTGTCCTAAACCCACAATAACACATATCCCCCATTAACAAATAGGGTCATCCCGTTCTCCCTATGGTTTTGTGTATCTTAAGTGAGGGAGAAAAAAACATAGGGCCTAGTTGAACTAGCTGATTCCCCATAAAGGCGCGCTTGGAAGCGCAGTTCCAGTTGTAAGTGGAAACATTTCATAGTTCTAGAGGTTATATCCCAACAACTGGGGGACTAACTCACCATGGTTCTACCATGGTCATACCGTCATACCATTAAACCCGTAAAAGTGACTTCAACTGCACCCCCCACCGTAGAAACCCCCAGTTTTCACCTGCCAGGGCAGGGAAGAACTTCTTCATCCGCTGCCGTTCCCGCCAGCCGCTGCCACCGCCTCCGCTCAGCGCGCAGAGCACCGTGGCGCTCAGCGGCCGCACCAGGTGCCGCGCCAGCGACGCCAGGGTGCGTTCCTCGTAGCGCCAGGAGCCGGCGAAGAGCACCGCGACGCCTGCGCTGTCATGACATGGCTGGAGGGGAGAGTTCACAAGCCACTTACCCTCTGGATATGTCCAAATCACCATGGTATAGATGGCCCATAGAAATAGATGGTTTACCTATTAAAAATGGTGATTTTCCATGGCAAACTGTTAAATAACCAGATGGTAAGTGGTGATGATTTGACCAACAAAAAAGTGATGTTTTCACCACCAAACAGGAGGAGTTCTTGGCCACAAGAAGTTGGATTTAACCAACAAAATGCGGGAATTAAACAAAAAACAATTGAATTTAGCCAGCAGAAATTGGTGAATGATGGTTTTATGGTGATTTGTCATGGAACTTGGACTTAAAAATGAAAAATGATTCAAAGTGGAGTTGTCTCAAACATATAACTCAAAAACGAAGCATGACGGGGATAGAATGAGGATCTAATGAGATAGATAGATAGATAGATAGATAGATAGATAGATAGATAGATAGATATACATAACCAACAATACGAGAGGTGTTGTTTCCCCAGAAATGGGGCATCGAATCTCAATGTTGTTTGAATGAAGAACATCATCAACCATTAGGTTTGGGGGGTGCTCAACTGTCAGACAAACAAACCCGCAGAGAACTTGGGTATACGTCATTTAAAGGATGAATTTCAGCATCAAAAAGCAGGTTTAAGCATCAAAAGATATAATGGGGATCACACCCTACCAAGAAGTGGTGTTGTTGTGTTTGGTCGGCAGGCACGTGTTGTTGATTATTTGCATAAATTAAGTTTTTAACCTACCCACGCAAGGGGTGGGTGCCGAGTTTATGAAACAGGTGGGAAGATCCGGGAAATTCAACAAACATTATATATATAACAAAATCTTGGAGAAAAAAAACGCCAAAAACCAAGCTGGCAACTCCCCATCTGGCAAAAACAAATCTAGCCGGGGCGAAAATCCAACAGGCAGCTGGAGGATGGATCTTTTGAAAATAGAGGACTGTCCAGTGTAGGGTTGAATTCCAAGCAAAGGGTCTTTAAATCCAGCAAGCTGTTCGGTTGGTTGCACCACGGAGCATATCCGTCGTTGATGAACCCCAAAATTTGGTTTTTAAACCAATTTTTGTTGTTCCTTCGCCATTTTATGGTAGTTCAACCAGCAACCCCTAAGTGCTAGCAAAACCTGCTGATAAAACTGACCTAAACCTGCACTTTGGCAGCTCAAAACCATACTCAAAGTTGCTCTCAATGTTGCTGCTAAAAATCATTTGAAATCATCCCAAGCATTCAAAAATATACCACATTTGTTCGTTCCAAACCTTTCCCCCAAAGTTTTCCCAGGTTCGACCCACCTCCCCGCCCTTCACCGCTCGGCCGCAGCAGTTTCGGCTGCGGCTGGGGCAACGTGGCGAAGAGCACCGAGGGCCCAAAGATTTTGGCCCCGATGGGTTCCGGCTGCAGGAACCACATGGGCCACGGCGGCAGCTTGCCACTCCTTTCAAGTGATGTGATGCGCCCTGCCATCCATGCATCATCACAACTCACCTCTCCTATAGTTTCCTATCTTTGAAACTTCCGCCACAGCCTTGTGCGGTACTATTGGTAAGCAAACTGGCAATGGGATTTTCACCAATTGTTTCATTCAGAAATGCTGAAATTAGGCGTTTTGGGGCCCTATGTGGATGGATAGCGATCTATCGATCCATCTTTTCTTGTCTCATCTGGTCTTACCTTATCTATTTGCTCATATTATGATCCTGATTAGGTACAATATTAGGTAGCCATTACTTAACCATTGCTGGGAAATGGTTAGGGATACCTATTATATATCATCCATCATATATGATATGGGGTTAATAGATATATCATATCACATCATACGTTCCCAATATATAATGATACCCCATATCATCTATCATCATGCCCATCTACCATATATGATGTCATAAATGATCTATCCCTATACATATCTATATATCATAGCTGGATAATGTCATAGATGAATATATTATCTATCACATCCCCCAGTCATCACCATAAATAGGTGGTATGGTTACCACTCCCAGTCATGGGTGGTTTATGGCATTGTTTTACCCACATTATTCATTAATAACTATATCATATCCCATTAATATCCCATTCATATACCATTGGTATTCATCAGCCATTAGTATACCATTCATACCAGGAACATATGATACCCTATATGGAGGTTTCCATAAATGGTGGTACCCCAATAGCTGGATGGTTTACAATGGAAAATCCCAAACAAAAATGTATGATTTGGGGGTTACCCTCTGGTAAACATACAAAAAACTATTGAAAATCACCCTTTTTAATGGGAAAATCAACTATAAATGGTCATGTTCAATAGCTATTTTGACATAACCAGAGGGTAAACCTCCATTTTCCTATGGTTTTCCTATGGTTTTCCTATGGTTTTCCTATGGTTTTCCTATGGAAACCACCATATATCTATCCCCTTACGCCGAGCATCGCTGCCACCTCCTTTCGGAAGTTTCGATCTGAGGAGGCTGGGAAGGCGTGGCGCGGGTGCAGCGACACGTGGCTGGCGCCCTGACCTGAACGAAAAAGCCATGGGGATTTATAGTGGATTAATGGGATTTTATAGTGATTCAATGGGATGATAATGGGATATATCCTCTGGAAAACTATTTATCACTGGTTTATAAACCCCATGAAAACTAGTTCGTTATATCTACCATAAACCATAGTGACATTGGAGTTATGTGCACCAACTTAGCTAACTATGGGGCACCACCTTGTGGGGATTCCAAAGAAGTCCAAAAATATGGCGAAAGATGGTGATTTTTGACCATTTCACCAGCAATTTTTTTTAGATTTTGACCAGCCAAATTGTGATTTGACCTCCAAAAATATGGTGATTGGACCAAAATGGTGATTTGACCAGCGAAAAATAGTGCTTTGAACCAACCAAGACTCCAAGACTTGAATTTACCTCACACATTTTAGTCTCTAATGATTGTCTGGTGCCCAAAACGGAGGCACCTTATTTGTGTATGTATGCAAGGTCGCCCTGAATTTTTAGACTCCCTTTCCGGGAATCTTGATTTGAAAACTTAAAACGGGTCGCTTAGTCACTTGGACTGAAATCATTCCAGGTCAAAATGGAAAGCAATGTGTAATACGCGTATGCCTTTATATACGCACATAATCACGTATGTATCTCTATCTCTCTATCTCTCCGTCTCTCTAGATATCTCTATCTCTATCTGTACCTCTCTCTCTCTCCTTCATTCTACTTCTAAACTTACCCATCCCAGACCCAGCGAGAACTCCATCCCAGCGACAGGAGTAATCCAAATAGCTCTTCTGCAGTCGGACAATGCCTCGGGTACCCTGGGTCCAAACCTCCAGTGGTGGTTCAAGATCCCGAAAAAAATGCGGTATTTGAGAACCCAATGATCAACCCATTGACCAGAAATGGATTGGATAAAGACATACTGGTTGGTGGTTGAGCCACCAACCCCTCTGAAAAATATGACTTCGTCAGGTGGGATGATATGGATGATGACATTCCCAACTGAATGGAAAGTCATAATCCATTCATGTTCCAAACCACCAACCAGATGGAAGGGTTGCAACGTATCTTACCATCCAAAATTACCATTTTTGGCCCAGCAATTCATGGATGTTCGCGTTCGCAACGTGCGCCTTCGAGCGTTCCAGAGTGAATGAAGGTGGGCGCCAGCCACTGCGACAGCACCGCTTCACTACAGGCCGTGGGCAAACACGTCAGCATCGCATGGTCTCGGCCCCGAGGCGAATGGAAAATCCACAGTCAACCAGTCACCCATATGGCAGTATGTCAAAACCTTGTACCCCTGGTGAACATCAAAATAGCTGGTAAATGGATGTTCATCCCCCTAAAAATGGTATGTACAGGTATTGATCCATAGCCATATAAAGTGACTAAAAGAAAGAAACTCCACCAGAAATGTACCCGGCCTGGTAAACTGCCACATAATGAACTGGAAAGATCCACCATTTTCTAGCTGGGAAAATCCACGATTTCGACTGGGCCATGGCTTCAATAGCTTTTTGTATGTTTACTAGAGGGTAGATCAATTCTAAAAGAAGCAAGCATCAATTTCCCTAGAGGTTTGTTAGTACTGGATGGCTTTTTGGATCATTTTCTGGGGAAACCATTGGGAAAAAGTCTAGTTTTCTATGCTCGTTTGCCCCAGGAAAAAGAAAACGCAGGACCGTTCCCCAGCGCTGCTGACTTTAAGAAGCCCAAAGAAATACTTAGGGGTGCAGTTGAGGTTACTTTTTGATGCTCTTACATGATTACATGATTTTGTATTGTTTTAGGACTAATTTACTGGGATATTAATTGCTGGTTGGTGGTTTCAACCAACCCCTCTGAAAAATATGACTTCGTCAGTTGGGATGATGACATTCCCAATATATGGAAAGTCATAATCCATTCATGTTCCAGTCACCACCAACCAGTGTCGTATGTAGCAATCCCTTCCCTGCAAAAATATTTCACACCCCTTTTAACGAATATGATCTGCCCCATGTATAAAAATGATAAAAATCCCCTACTAAACCATGGTAAAATCCCCAGATTGGATATTTTTCTGGGTGTGAAAATGTGTAATAACCAGCTACCCATGGTGAATTCACCCTCATGTTGGGATATGGGGCCCTATTTCACTAGGCTTATGATTGGTTAGATATCCACTGTTGAATCCACTGTTGAATCACCGGAACTGCACTTCCAAGTACCAGTTCCACTTGGGTTGGAGTTGGTTTGTCTCACCCCTTCGCGATTACCATTTGGACACTTCTGGGTAAACTATAATAAACAATCATTCACATCATTCACCAACCTGAAAAGTCATGCCATTTTCACATAGTTACCCTCTGGTTATGTCAAAATAGCTATTGAAAATGGCCATTAAAATAGTTGATTTACCCACTAAATTTGGTGGTTTTCCATAATTTTGTCTATATTTACCAGAGGGTACCCCCTATCTTCACCAGAACTCTAGGGATGACCTACCCAGGCATGACTTTGTGAACCGGCTGCAGCATGACCCCCCGGAACTTCCGCGTTTTCTGGAACGAAAAAGCTGGAACAGTAAAGCATCATCAAAAATTATGGAAAATCACCATTTTTAATGGGAAAACTCACTACAAATGGCCATTTTCAATAGTTATGTTAGTTTACCCAGGGGTATATGTGTTTATCCGCTTGTCAATTTGATGGATTCCCCCGAAACCAATGATGAGCCGCGGACGAAAAGTCAGGGCTCGCAGCCCGCAGCCGCGGGAATCCAGTTGTTTTACCCAAGAAATACTATGGAAATACCATAAATATTACAGTTGTTGTGGGATTATCCAGTATTTCCATAGTATTTTCCCCCATAAATGCCATAAATACTATATGAAAAAATCGTCAGTTGTTTTCTAGTATTTCCATATATTTCCATAGTATTTCCATAGTAATTTCTAGTATTTCCGATGAATTATCCAGTATTTCCATAGTATTTCCAAAATCCCAACCATTTCGCCACAAAATGCCGCGCCACGTGAGTCGCCCAGTTTGGGCTCGCCCAGCAGGGTATGGTGCATCAGCAGTACCTCGACGTCTCGAATCGGTGACGGAAAGGGGCGATTTAAAGATGACCATCAAAGCTATGATATAATATGAAACCCATGGTGAAACCTATGATTTATGTAATATTCATCATTTACATATATTTGAATGTTTTATCTAGAAATACTATTTTTAAATACAATTTCTTTCAATATCTATGATAAAAACACTTCTTTGGAACCATTTTGAATGGTGTTATCATATTGGGAGGATGGGATTACACTGGTTTGATCCGGTAAGAATCTCGTAGATGATCATAGGTATTCTGCTAGACACATTGGTGGAAATAAGTTATATGGGAACCAGATGTAACAATGGATAATATGGAACCCAATGGAACAATAATTGTATACGTATGGGTCAAAAACCCATACGGATACAATAATGGTGTTCCAAAAACCAATTTGAAATGTTCCAATAATTATGTTATCAGATGTTTTTGGAACATTCTCAAACTGGTTTCCATGTTTTTTTTTCACGGATTCAACCCCGAAAAAGCCTTTTTGACAAATGGTGATTGGACAGAAACTGACACCCTGCACAAGGGGAACAAAACCCACCGTTTCATGGGGAGATGCGATGTAAATGGTCTTAAATGGATAGAATACATATTTATATATATATCTCTCTCTCTCTCTATCTATCTATCTATTTATTCATTCATTTGTTTATTTATATACATCTATCTATATAACCCACAAAACATATACAATATACAACTGGTGATTTGAATGATGATAGGTGCCCCAGAGTTATGGGTGGTGTAACATACGTAGAGCTAGCGTCTGAGTTGGGATGTCCATAATCCCACGGCAATTCAGCGCGTCCCAGCTTGGAAAGTCCCAAAACGGGTGATGTTTGGAACTCCTCCCCAAAAAAAACTGGTGGTTTTAACCTGAAAAATGATGGACTTCATCAGATTAAACATCATCATCCCAACCAGATCCCAACGATTGGGGAAAAGAATCCATATAATCCATTCCTGTTCCAGTCAGCACCAACCACTAAAAAATATAAACATGTCAAAAAAACACATGACAAAAATTCCACCCTATTTCACACATTTCACATGGAATCAAAACCCCATGGCTCCCCAACATCGATGAACGCCCTCCAGGCGGCCCAAAACAAGTGGGCGCCCATCGAGTTCCAGTAGCAAGCTTTCGCAAATTGCAGCACCCGAAAACCTGAAGAAATTCTGCCAATAAACCCGAAATCTTTATTCATGAATATCTATGTTTTTATATCACAATAATATCCCATTCATATACCATTGATATTCATTAACCATTAGTATATACCATTAGTAGTCATTAGTATATCAGGAACATATGATGCCCTATATGGAGGTTTCCATAAATGGGGGTACCCCAATAGCTGGATGGTTTACAATGGAAAATCCCAGCTAGACATGGATGATAAATGCTGTTTACCCGAAATGGTAAACTTACAAAAAACTATGGAAAATCACCATTTTGTAGCTGGGTAAATCCACTATTTCTATGGCAATTTTCAATAGCTATGTTAGTTTAGCAGAGGGTAAAAGTGACGTTTTGAGAAAATCATCTACACATCTGGGAGTTTCGCCATCGCGTTGATGACCGGAGGACAAATGAGCTGAAAAAGTCTACGGCCCAAAAGTTGATGCTGCCTATACCATAGGGATGGGTAAGCCTGATATTTCGGTGAAGGCCAAAGTAGCCAGTAACTTGATGTTCATCCACAAAAGAAAGTCTGCATATATATATATATATATATACTTATTTATACATATATATATATACATAGATATAGACACACACACATACATACATACATAACATAACATAACATAACATAACATAACATAACATAACATACATACATTACATACATTACATTACATTACATTACATTACATTGCATTGCATTGCATTACATTACATTACATTACATTACATTACATACATACTTACATACATACATACATGCATACATAGTGTATATATATAGATATGTGTGTGTGTATGTGTGTGTGTGTGGGCAATGAATGGCTTTGACCCGCGGGCAATGAATATATGCGGTGCCCAAAATCGCCCCGGCGTTTTTGATGTGTTTGTCCTATCCCCATCAGTCCCCATCGGTCCTCATCGGTCCCTGTCCCATAAGATATCCACTCTTGGTGAATACACTCCGGTCTAACACTTTGCGAACTGGAAAATCACCATTTCTTATAGGTAAATCATGGTAAATCATCGAACTAAAAAAAGGCCATCCATAGTTAGTTAGCTATACTAGTTCAATGACCTATCAGCGGAGGGTATTAAACCATATGGAACCAACCATGTCATATCAATCTCATTAAATATCGCATCAACATCCATTGACACCCATGAAATTCCCATTTCAGTCCTTATATATCGCAATGAAATCATCATGAAATCAGCATTAATGTGGGTAAAACGGTAAAACGATGTCATTTTTACCACCCATGACTGGGAATGGTAAACAGCCATAGCACCTATATATTTATGGCGATGACTTCCTGGGAGATGGTGCGTTTATGACATTGTTTTACCCAAATTCAATGCCATTAGAACAATGGCCATTTCAGGAACCTAAATTGGAGGTACCTACCATATATAAGGCCTATATTTTTTAGGCCAATGTAAGGGAATATCCCAGCAAAATATAGCCAAAAATATGGTACTAACGTCCATTTTTAGGATCCTGGAGATCTCCCATTGATTATTATAGACCAATGATTAACCATCATTAACCACTATTAACCATTATTAACCATTAGTAATCACCATTTTCCTATGGTTTTCCTCTGGTTTTCCCATTAAAACCACCATTTTCCGATGGTTTTCCTATGGTTTTCCCTATGGGAATTCAATGCGATTTGTTCAAAATTAGTAACCATTAACCAACCATTTTTCCCATTTTTCCCATGAAATCACCAAGAGACGTTCGTGCCCTGAGGTGATGCCACGTAGGGCGCCGGTGGCATCCAACGACGCGGCCTCGAAGATGGACCTCACCTCCGACCCGGTTTTTGGGGGGGAACATGGGAAAATGGAGATTTTCCATAGAAATAGTGGATTTACCTATTGAAAATGGTGATTTTCCATCGGAAACTCCGGCCGGGATGCTGAGTTCTGCTGAAACATCCACCCAGATCTCATCCCAGACACCATGCCATTGGCCAAGTCATTACCCTCATAGGAAAACCATAGGAAAACCCATGGTAAAACCACAGTCATATGGGGGATCCCAAATAAAATGGTTGGTTTATTTCATGGAAAATCCCATCTAGAAATGGATGATGGCTGGGGGTACCCTCTGGTTATGACTAAGCCATAGGAAAATGGAGGTTTATAGCTGGGAAAACCAGTAGGAAAACCATAGGAAAATGGAGGTTATACCCTCTGGTTATGGTGATTTTCCATAGTTACCCTCAAAATGGTGGTTACCCTCTGGTTATATCAAAATAGCTATTGAAAATGGACCATTTATAGTTGATTTACCTATTAAAGATGGTGATTTTCCATAGCTATGTTAGTTTACCAGAGGGTATGTCAAAATGGTGAATCCACTTGATCTATGGATAATAGCTAAAGGGTTCATATATGGATAATCTATGGTTAATGGTTAATAGTTACCCAACCTGGTTATGACTAACATAGCCATGGTATAGATGGCCCATAGAAATGGAGGATTTTCCCATTAAAACCTCCATGTATGGTTGGGATTTTCCATGGCGATGTTAGTCATAACCAGATGGCATATGGTTTAGTATGATTTAATATGGCAGAAATCATGGTTTAATCAATGGTTAATCAATGGTGCTTTGGTCTGGTGCAAAATAGGGATATCAATAGTGATATCGGTGAGATGTATTCTATATATATATACATATGTTCATATATGTGTGTGTGGCTGATGGGATCATAATGGATATACCCTCTGGTGATCAAGCATGGCAAGCTGGAAAATGTCCTATGAATGGAAGTTTCCGCAGCTGGGTTTGCATCAACTATACTATAAATCGTGTTTTTCCAGCAAGCCATGTTTGATTATCGGAGGGTATAGCAACCAAAGAATTTCGGATAGTTCAAAATCCCAGACTTTTTCTAGTTGCTGACATGGCTTTTCTATATGTTTCTCAATCATGTTTGAGGTCGCTGTGCATTTGATGGCTGGGTGATATCCTGGGGGTTTTGGGCTAGTTCCGAACAGCTAAAACTGGGAACTAAACCCCGGTGTATGGATTTTGGGTGGTAAAAATATCTCATTTTTAGGATGTACCCGGCCTGGTAAACATACAAAAAGCGATTGAAAATGGTGATTTATAGTGGATTTACCCATTAAAAATGGATATTTTCCATACATTGAGTAGTTATGTGGCAGTTTACCAGAGGGTAATGTTGGGAAACTTATCACAAAATACTGGGATTCCTTTTTTTCGGTGTCATCAAACATTTTTGGAAAACCGTCCTGTTGGAGTTCCATTCCCAGCTGACCTCCATTTCATTCGAGAGACCGAGACGCAGCTAGGTAGCCATGGTTGGATTACCGCTACCAATGAAATATCCAATTATGGTGAGTGAGGTTCCCACGATGTTCCTTATAAATTGGTTGGATTACGGTGAGTGATGTTCCATTATGTTCCTTACAACATGTTGGATTCCCACAATGTTCCTTATAAATTGTATACTTTCAGGAATTATATTCCTAGTGATTGGTACTCTATAGATTAAATTGTCACATTGTCACGCTATTGTATGATCCCCCATACAGTGGAAATATCCCTATGTACTATGTACACTATAAAACCCATGCACTGCCATATACTAGCGATTTTTGCTGGAATAAATAGGGACATATTACGGGCAATACGTATATACATGTAACCCCCCTATATGTCCTATTTATTCGCACTGGGGAATGCCCTGGTTTAATCCCACTATAATGGATTTTAGTGAAACTTTGAATAAACCATGCTTTAACAGTGACATAGTAGATAAGCCCTTAGAGTGCGTATTCATCTCTTTGATACACCATTCTGAAAAATGCTAACATACCAGAAATAAATTAGAAATGGTTTTCACTAACCAGAAATAAGAACATGGGATAGTTACCCTTGCTAAACATCACTCCAGGTCGCAGTGAGGTTTGTGTCACCCAGTATTGGGATCATAAACTTCATAGGCTTATAACCTCTGGTAATTTAACATTAGCTATGGAAAATCACCATTTTGTAGCTGGGTAAATCAACTATTTCTATGGCAATGTTCAATAGCTTTTTCTATGTTTACCATTTAGGGTAACTATTAACCATTAACCCACAGATTATCCATAGATTATCCATAGATTATCCATGGATTAACCATATATTAGCCATATATTAACCATATATTAACCAGGCCGGGTAACCCACCCAAAACCCACCCATCACGGGCACGGCCCATGTGTCGATCCGTCCGCCTGTCGAAAGCAGCGCGCCGCCCGATGCCCCAGCGGCACCTCGAAATGCTGCAACGTGGCGCCGCAGCTAGTGCCTCGTTCAACGAGTGGCCGTCGATCTGTGCCGAAACATCGTGGATTCGCGTGATTTTCAGCATCTTTAAGCCATAGAAAACCGGGATTCATCGTGGTTGACCCACTAAGAAACAGATTCAAAAATTGACTTATACATTCAACTTGGTGATTTTAAGGCATACAAGTTGGGATAGGCCATCCAAATGATGGTTTGTAACGATTAGAAGATGGATTTCAAGTCATGAAAGGGGGAAATGGGACATGTTGAGACATGATTTAAGCATCATGCACACTGTTAAACCTGGGTCGAGGTGCAGGTTCTTGGTTGTGCTCCAATCTTTCAGAAAGCATCCCTTGTGGAGCTCAATGGCAAATCCAGTGTCACCCATCCCCACTTTCCCTTCGTTTCCTTCGCCCTGGGGCCAGCATCATCAACATCATAATCCATTAATAACCACTACCCTCTGGTAATTTAACATAGCTATTGAAAATGGCCATTTATAGTGGATTTTCCCATTAAAAATGGTGATTTTCCATAGCTATGTTAAATTACCAGAGGGTAATGGCCATTGATAACCATTAATAAACCACCACCACCATCATCAACATCGTCATCGTCATGATCATCAGTTCGTGTTTCTGCAGCAGCACCTCTTCGAGTCGATGAAAATTCATGAAATTCCAATGTGTAAGCCGCTCAATTTCCACCACCTGCTTACGCTCCAGTGATCAAACGTGGCAACGGAAAAACGCTCGTTTTTGTTGGATGATGTTCCCCGTAAAACAGCCATTAAAAGCAGGATTTCCAAGTGTCACCTTTGATTACCAGAGCAAAAATCCCCAATGTGGGACCATTGAGGGAAAAAATGACCCCTATCCAATCCCATTATACCAGTTGGCTATAGTTGGCTAGTAAATATTCTTGTGGATTGAAATAGTGCAAGAATGTTAGGTACTAGTACAACTTTACCATGTTGTCTATTGAAATAGGTACTAGTGTATTGGGATAATTATCCCATTATCCCAATAAATTATGGGTAGTGCAATTCCCCCCATGCAATGCCCATGTTCGCATTGCAAGGGGCATTCGTTCAGCAGCAGCACCCTTGGTATCTCCTCTGACCGGTTCAACACCCGCGCCCCGAAGTCTGGCGCAAGCAGGTCGCAGAGCATGGCTCAGGGCATGCCATGGCGACCACAAGGTGCAGCGAAAGCTTGAAGATTGGATGGTTTTACCATGTTTTATACATGTTTTACGAGTTCAAACTATGATTTTATGGGATATTTTTGGGGCAATCTGTGTTTCAATTCCTACGGGCTCATGTTCTAGTGTCGGATGAATTCTGAAGATACACCCTTTTGTCCAGTTTCAGGACACCAATGAAATTGGTGTGTCACCCTGTTGGCAATAAGCACAAAGTCAGATCATCGAAAATTTGGATAAATATGTACACACACACATCTATATATATATATATATGTATGTATATATATCATTGTGTCATTATATATATATACACACACATGCTCTCTTATGTACAAATATATTGCCTCTAGTTATCGATTTATTTTCAGCTTATATGCGTATACCTGTGTGTGTGTTTTTTTTTTGAGGTGATCCCAAAGCCTAGTACTTAGCAACCTGATAAGCTTTCCTCTACTACTTCCCGCAGGTCATGACGCCGTAAGTGCACAAAGCATGACTGACTGGTGACCCATGGTCACCCTGGAGTAGACTATGGGATGTTCAAAGATATTCCCATTGAAAATAGTGAAATGTCCACAATAGTAGATAGACTATGTCAAGGTTATAGTCATCCTGGAGTAGATAGACTATTAAGCCAGACATAACCTGACTATAGCAGGATGACTATAATCTTGACATAACTTGAACGTTGAAGTCAGCAGGTCTGTGACCCACAGAAGGCCCTCGCAAGGTCACAGGTGCGTTTTGGAAGATTGAAAATGCCTGGTTAAGAAAGGGATTCCCATCACAATCATAATATATCACAATATATCATTGCGTTATATAATTTGCCCCCATATCATAATATAGTATTGTGTTATATCATCCCCCGTGTATAAAGGCTAGTATAATCCCCGAACGAATCATCAATCAACATCAATCAACAGGGTTTTTGAACCCCGAACGAATCGTCACTCAACAGGGCTTTTGAACACTGTTGAGGTTGAAAGCTGGATTGATTTTTGTTGATGGACTTCAATGCAGACAGGATCCTTGCACCCCAAATTTGATGGTCATGTTTGAAAATTCCACTGTCAACCACGTTATCCAGTGGCTCACCAGACAGGTTGAGCAAAGCAGCAGCTGTTCATAGCAGGCAGCTGGGGGCATGCCAACATCCTGTGCTAGTCAAAAAGGGCTTTGGTTTGGTTCTTCAACAATAATGGCTAGTTCTGGATATTAAAAACAGAAACATCGGATCATTGATGGAGATGCTCTCAGACCACCGTCCTCGAGGAAAAATCTCCCCCCTGGGGCTGCTGCCCATCAGTCGGGAATCGGCAGACCTGACTTCGAAAGGAATCGGCTACAGGATCCTTCCACTTCCTGTCAAAAACCATGTCGCAGAACTGAAAATACCACTTCGACATGAAAAAAAACATAATATAAGCTGCACAGAATCTGCCCCCAATTCATTGCTAAAGCCAATTTTTTAAACTCCAGCTAGCAAGCTAGCTTTCGTGACAAATCAAGAAAACAAATACAGTAAATGAATGATGAATCAGATAAATGCAGAAAAAAATCAAACAAAAACATAAAGTGCGAACAACATCAAGTAAACGCAAATTCTGCATGCGTCAAAACTAAAAATATAACATACCTGGAACACCATATGGGTTTGGGATGGCCTGGGCATTTTTCATGTTGCTTTCCGAGGCGGCTCTGTTGGAGCTGGTCGGAGGCACCTCCAAAACCCCCCGTGGACACGTTGCCATGATGCCCATATGTAAATCATATTATATACATATATATTACTTAATATTACTTAATTATTGTGTTTATTTATTTATCATATTTATCATACTTATCATATTTATCATATTTATCTACTTCATTCGATTTCTAATGATTTCTGTAACATGACATAACATGACTGTATCTACTATGAACATCCTTCCGCTGAGTTTCCCGGGCTATCCAAGCCACTTAGCGCTTGGGCTAGGGAAGGGCGTCGCGTCATCTCGCCTTGGACGTGATTTGCGTGAGAATTGATGGAAAATTGATGGAAAATCAGGGATGATTCAAATGATTCGAACATGAAAATCTGAAGATTTTGGGGATTTAAGCAAAGATGGAGATTTTACTCATTTAAGCATCAAGTCAGCATCAAGCCGTGGATTAAAATAGGGGTTCAACGCTGGGTATGAAGTACTTCGCACTTCCCCATCAAAAGCGAACGAATCATCGAACGAATCGACCTTTTGAACTCACCCTTGACCCAGTTTTACCTAGATCTTTGGATCCCAAGAAGCCCTTATCACCCCCCACTTGGTGGTGTGCTGATCGCTAAAAACCTCACTTTTCGTGGGGTACTGTGATGGTTTTGACCCATCCAGGCACCCCAATAAAAACATATTAAGGTGAGATTTCATTACATCCCTCATTATCGCCAATTGCTTCTATTTTTTTCATTTTTTTTCCATCTATCCCAGCAACAGATCGCTCCGGTTCCGCCGGAGGATTCAAGTAGTCCCTGGCAGCAACGTCGGACGTCGGAGAGATGAAGTCGAAACAAAACTGAAGAGACCACCCAATTTGATGTCCTTTTGGTAAAAATAGGGGGGCCGGTGACTGGTTCATCCCATCTATCATCATAGAAACCTGTTGTTAAAGGGGCTTCTGAAGAAACCCCTCTATTAATCAACCAATCAATGGGAAAAGGACATCTATGAGACCACCTGGCAATAGAATACGACCTTCGATTTGAGAACGAACCTCACCTGAAAATGTGATATAAAAGTCTGGCATTTCTTAGTTGCCATGTCTGTTCAGCGGCAGCTGTATGTTTAGATTTGCATGGTCGGGGTGAATTTACCTGTTTGCTGCTGATATGTGAATTAGATGTTGCTTGATACCCGCTACGAATGTGTCACTCTTTTCGATGGACCATTGCAATAGGCAATGCTACACTACAACTCTTTTCTAAACATATTGCTGTTTCAAATGAATACTGCATAGACTAGGAAAACTTTCTTATTACTCTGCAAAAAGTGACGTTACGCTACTACACTTGTTTAAGAATACAACACTACTTCAAATGAGTCCTGCATCCATTCAAGGACTCTAATTGAAGACAATGTTTGTTCATAGTACTACTGCATCCATTGAAGCATGCTATAGCAAAGAAATAGTTAAATAGTAGATCCTTTAAAATGGATGCCCCAGAATTCTTATGCAATATGTCCGATACACTTTCAACAGAGTACTGCATCCATTCAAGAACTTTCTTTACAGGTTCTTGACTCTTTCAAAGTACTGTTCTCAAAGGAATACCCCACCATTTCGCATGTCAGTGTCAGCTCTTCAGTTTAAGTCGGGTCTTTAGTCGGCACACGGCCTGGCGGATGGGCCTTGCAAAGAAAAAACATTTCTGCACAGAGCTGTTGTTGCTTTCCTTTGTTGGGTCCCAACAGCTGGTGAAAGTCTTAACCTCTTTTTTGTTGCTTCTGAAAATCATTGTTTTCTCTGAAACCCCACAGGCTCCGATTTACAGAGAGTCTGTGAGAATAGTCTCTCTGAAAGTATTGGGTGTTAATTTTCTCAAATGATGTATATAATTTGCTATATGGCACCCCCTTTTAACCCAACCATGTAGACAATAATGTAAAAAAGCTAGGTTTTGAGGGGGGGTGCCATATCTTCAGCCAGGATTCTTCCATAATTCCAGGTTTTCAAGTTTGGGGCACGTTTCGGGTATGTAATGAGTATCTAATGAGTTCTATCAAACAATGCCATAAACCACTCATTTAGGAATGGGTTGTACCATCTATAAAAATGGTGATGACTGGGGGATGGTGCAGATGGCATTGGTTTACCCATCGCATTTTCACATTTGCATCGTCCCAGATGTCCCAGTGGACAACTCCCCAGGTGCTGCCCGACCGCTCCTGGCCAGTTCTTCTAGGCTTACCTCCGCGCCACCGTCCTGACGAATCCCCTCCCAATCACCAGAAATGGGTGGGAAATGTTCCTCCATTGGAGGTGAGTTTTTCGAGCTTCCCCCATTATTTTTATGTCTGAAAATGGTTCTGTGAGGGAGAACAATGGGATGAGAATAATTGTCAAACTCAGGTTATTTTGATGCGTTCATAGGAGTGGAATGATTGAACGACTCGCAAGTTCTTTGTTTGTCAAAATGTTTTTTCAAGTGTAATCTTTGAGTCTGAGTGATGGACTAATGATTGAAAGGGACTAATACCAGGTTACTAAGTTATTCATACGTCTTGTCTCGAGTGAATATCATCACTATCACGATTGAGAGGGTCAGAATGTTGGAGAGAAGGTGGGCCCCGTTTTTTACATGAAGCAGCCAACCAATCAATAATATAACTTGAGAAGGGGGAACACGAAAGGCAGTTGTGTCGCAGGTGACGCAGGTGAGTGATGAGAATAAGATGGCAGGGTGGGTGGTCGATGCTCTATGCTGCTGATGATGATGATGATGACGACGATGTTGATGATGATGATAATGCAGGGCCACTTGACTCAATCGATGCTAACCCTGGCGCACTAAATCCCTGCTGGTGCAAAATCAATCAAAATCATCAGTGGCTCCGACCTTTTCCTTCTCACATGTGTGCTAAACGTCAGAATGCCATAACAAGGCAATCAAAAATCCACTAATTGTTCCACTTGTTGTAGATGATCCACATGTTGAAAATGAATATTATCCGTTGGTGTCTTAGATTATCAGAGGGATCCAGAAAAATATAGTCGTGGTTCAAAAAGCTGCTGCCTAGTTACCATCCAAGTTAGACTCTCATGGGTGGGAGTTATTCCGAACATGGTATCATGGGCCATATGATCATCAGATAAACATCAGAAACGTTAATAAATCATAAACAACCGAGCGCTTGGGTAAACGTATGACGACGATGAAGACAATGTTGATGATGATGATGATGATGATGATGATGATGGCGATGATGATGATGATGATGATGATGATGATGATTGTGATGGTGATGATGACGATGATGACGATGATGACGATGATGACGATGACGATGACGATGACGATGATGACGATGATGACGATGACGATGACGATGACGATGACGATGACGATGATGATGATGATGATGATGATGATGATGATGTTGAGCCATTCAGAAAATCATCCGCGGTCCAAATGGAAGGAAGGTACCATATGATCTGGGGAGGGGAGGGGGGGGAGAGGGGAGGGGGGGAGGGCTTTCTCCTGGTCGTTCAGGGATAAGGGGTCCAGCCCACCCCTTTGCTTCGCAAAGTAAAACTCAAGGTAGCCCGTTGGGAGGCTACCTTTCGTGATATATATGTATAGTATTATATATATATATAGTATATATACATGCATATACTCTAGACTAGAAAAGGACCTCATTGGAATACCGGAATCCTCTTCTCTGGTTCTCGCTGTCTCGCGATGTCAACCACAGATGGCCCAAGATGATCGTCGGTTATATCAGTTATGACTAACCGGGTTACCCGACAAAACATATATTTACATATCATATATAGTAATGATGGTAATGAATCAATTATATCAGTCACCATTATATATTAGTAATGAATCAATTATAACATTAGTAACTGGATAATTTTAGCCTCTGGTTATGACTAACATAGCCATGGTTAAGCCATAGCCCATAGAAATAGATGATTTTCCCAGCGAACTAAACCTCCATTTATTTTGGGGATTTTCCAGTTCGCTATGTTAAATAACCAGATGGTAAAAAGCCCAAATGAAATATGAACCAAATAGGGGGAGATTATTAAAAACCAAATGGGAAGATTATTTCTGTGATTTCCATGAGTATTCAAAAAATCCCTTCCCCCTACTATCAAACACCCCCAGCCACGAAACCATGGTTTAGTAGGGAATTTCATGGAATTTCCAACGAATTGGAACCATTACCCTCTGGTAAACTAACATAGCTATGGAAAATCACAATTTTTAATGGGAAAATCCACTATTTCTATGGCCATTTTCCAGTTCGCAAACTGTTGACATAACCAGGTTGGGTAGTTGGGGGCGTGGCTAATCCCCGCCCAAATGGTGCCCACAGCGGCCTGGTTGATGGCAGCCCAAAGCCGTGTGGCGTTGCCCACGTAGCCTGCTTTCTTGCAGCCCATGCTGAACCTGGCTGAGTGAAACTCAGCGCTGGAAAACCCGAAAACCCCCCCTGTTTTAATGAAGGTTGCAATGGGAAATTCACGGAAACTCATATATATATATACATATATATATATACATATTAATGGAAGTTATTGGGAAAATCATCTATCAATGGTGGTTGTGGGACAATCCCCTGTAAATACGGCTTTTTAATATGGGGACATCACCTACACATGTGGATTATATGAAATAAAACTTGGATTTTCTACTATTCCCGAAATTGGTTTTACAAGAAGACCATGGAAGACCTAAAGGATATCCTGTGTTTGGGATTATTCTTGGATAGGACTATGATGATTCTTTTCCTCGGCTGCTAAATACCCACAATTTAGGTGTGGAGGAGATAAAAAGGGAGGGATCCAATGCTAAACCAGGGGGGTGGAGGGGGAATTTCATATTTAGAGGAGTGGATTGCTCCCATCAAAGATTCATATTGACATATTGCAATAATGAACATGAAAGAAATGCAGGGAAAATAAAGTAAAATTGATGGAAAAACATGGGTATAAGCAAAAATGAAAGCACGGTTTTGCAGGCATTGTAACTTTAGATTGCCAGGGAGTACCGGGACAAGGGAGCAACAGAGCTAACCATAGAAATGGTATAAAATATGAAAAAAAATATATACCATCTAGATAGATACTCATTGATCATGGTAGATATAGAGGGCTACTGAACACAAAGGGCAATTTCCAATGGTACCCTCTGGTAAACTAACATAGCTATTGAAAATGGCCATTTATAGTGGATTTTCCCATTAAAAATTGTGATTTTCCATAGTTATGTTAGTTTACCAGAGGGTAAATTTATCATTCAAATAAGCCCATGGAAATTTGGCTAGTCCTTCTGCGGTAATCCAACATGGTGAAAATCCATCGTGTTTTTACACCTGATTAATGTGCCTACGTTTAAACTGAAGAAAATTATCCAAACTATCCAAACCACTCCATGTTTCTTGACCAATTGATGATGATAATGCCGAATATTCCAAAAACATGTCTGTTGCTTGCGCATCATCCCATGGATGGAAACTCAATACATGAAACAACCAGTTGTTTCACACATTGGTTATTGATTTTCTCCAGCACATTTTTGCGGAGCAGCGTGTCAACCCAAACAGTTTGCTCCTGGTGAAGACTTTGCTGGTTAAATCACTGCTTCAGCGGGATTTGACCAAAGTCCAGACCTTTTTCTGCTGGATTGCCCATTTAAAAAGGTGGACTTATAAAGGTTAACATATCTCGATTTATAAAGGTTAACAGCATGTTCAAGCCCATTCGATATCAAAATCGAATGATCCAATTACAAAGGTTCAAAGCATATATATATACTGTATATATTTATTTAAAGCCCTATCTGTTCGATAAATCTACTCAAAGCCAGCTTACCACGATAAAACCCATGAAAAGCTCAAAGAAAAATCCATCTTTCGCCAGCATCACCTCAACTTCTCATCCAGCCATGGGAACCCCATGGGAATTCCCTCGGTGTTTCCCCGTGGTTTCACCGGTGGTTTCCACGTGGAAACCACGACGACGGGGCACTGGGTGAAGTTCACCGCTCCGAGGCCGTCCAGATCGAAGGCCTCGTCCCAGGCCTCGTCGATGCTGCCGAACCTCGGAGTTGGGGAGTTCTCCCAGGTTTTTCGCAGTTGTTTGGATGGTTAACATGCCAGAATTCAAAAAAATGATGATGATGATGATGATGATGATGATGATTTTAAGAATATTTTTAATAATATTAGTCATAAGTGTTTAATAATGATAGTAATAATAAGAAGAAGAAGAACAATAATAGCAATAATAGTACTAAAAGTAATAATAATAATACATAATTGTTCATGTACCATGCTTCTTACCCAATGATGATTGATAGCGGTTCCTTGATTATAACGAAAATTAGTACCATTGTTATTGATGTATGGCCATAATAGTTAATAATGGTTCCATAATACGAATTAATGTTAATAATGGTGCCATAATACTAATTAATGTTTGTAATTATAACTATTACTAATGAATGGTTAATAGTCATTATTTATAACCATTGGACAACGGTAACAATCATTTTAAAAAAAATAATTTCACCATTATTGGATCATCATGATTCCAATGATGAATGATGACTATGATGATCCTATGTTATCATGACGACTAACCATTGGTTTAATAACGCATGGTGAATGATATGATTAGTACCTGAAATTCATCTACAGTAACTATTCTATGATCTAATCATCATGAAAATAACGCGTTATTTTCGAACATGTTGAAAGCAGCAATAAAGTAATCATATGTAATCATCAACATCCACATCGTTCTCCTCCTCTCCCTGATCCTCATCCTCATCATCATCATCATCATCATCGGCAGCATCATCATCATCATCATCATCATCATAACCTGAAATAAGCATATTTTGCTCACGCATTTGTGCATGGGACGTTTACCCTACAATGAGATGTGCGTCACTATCACTTACTGATTGGGATGGCCATCCAACTGCATCTGAAAATCATCCTAACGCATGGAATACCCCTTTTTGGGTCACATGTTGAACTAATAATTCACTTTCTGGTTTCCACTTAAGTTCTTTGGACCTTTCGGAACACATGACCTTTGCGTTCTTCCGTTGTTCCTTACAAAACTCCCGATGTTTCGGGCCAGTCCAAGCATGCAGTCCTAGTGCTAATAGGTAGTACTAAAAAAAAGTTCCCCATTTAATTAGATCCCATTCAATATAGTACTAATAGAGTTCCCCATTACCAGTTCATTAGCTCATATATCGCATGAAAATCCTTAGAGAAATTCGCAGTATCCAATCTTTGGATAAATTTTAGTTCACCCCAAGACAGCTAACCAGTCACAAATCTGTCCCCCAATCAATATATATATATATAATGTCAACCCTGGATTAATAAACCCCTAGGCTGTTTAATTGGGGGGATACCATTTAATTGGGGTTGACATTATATAAATAATATATATATATATATCAAAATACAGTAGGTTTCAATCCATCAACTTAACCCTCCGGTAACCCGTCATAATTAATCATATGACTGGCAAAACCCGCCCAGTTGCAGATGATTTCCCCAGCAGAGCCCATTTCTATGGTATCGATTGCCATGATTGGCTCACCCGGTGGGCAGCCTATGGCGATTGCTGGCAGGCCAGGGGCTTGGAGATCAAAAACCTCTGAAACTCTGCCACGAAGATCCTCAAGATTTCCTGAAAGCGTTGGGGAATTCGTGACCGGAACTCGCCCAAAAATGGGCCGACGGAGATCTAACTCTGCCAGAAATACGACCGAAATCGCTGGGTTATGAAGTCTCAGGGCCAAAAAAAACCGTGTGGATTCCATCTGCAGATGGGTAGAAAGCCATCAAAAACGGCTTCAAAAGATGACAAGTTTGGATTCAGGTCTTTCGGAACTTGGTCCAGGTTTTTCTTGCTGAGAATTTCCTACTTTTGCAGAGTCAGGGGTCCAACTTCTGAGGATATACTGGGGCACTACCTAAGTCGATCACGCCACTATACGAGAAATGTAATGCGTGCAACAACTACGCAACAGGTGTCTTTTTAAACGATCCGTGTATCAAACCGCAGATGGAAGTTTGAAGAAACGACAACCACATCTTTTTGCCATTCTTTCTACATTTTTTCCAGATACATCGGATACCGGTATGTTTGGTGGCGTTTTTTTTTTCCATAAAAGCCATCAACCCATCAGGCCGTCCACCTGCAACCAAGCCGCAGGCGTCCAGGAGGCATCCAGGAAGGAGAACTCCAAGGCGTCCGCGTTGACTTCGTACCTTTCCGATGCATCGGAGCCTGCTGCCACTACAATCATTGGGTTGGTTTAAGGGAAAATCGAAACCGGAAACCATGGTTTTTACCATCAAATATAGGGTTTTCCTGTAAATTTTCCCATCATCCAATTCTTTGATACAAAAACCTGGGCTCTTCTTGATCCTGTTCCGACCAATTGTATAAACTTGGAAAGCTATCCTGTTCTATCATTCTCCTGTTCTACAACTTGTTTTTTGAATGTAAAGCCAGGGGTGTGAATAGGTACTAAGCCCATTCAAAAAAACATCCTTCAACTGGGATTGGGGCCTATCACTGCAGGGTCCTACGTCGAACCTCGAATGTGCATCCCAGGCATTGCAAGTGATTTATGACTCTTTTTTTCGCTGGGACATCCCAAAAAAATGGACATTCTCTGGGGTGTAATGTGTTAATATGGTACTATATATCCATTCATAACTGGACCTGCACTTCGTCGGCTAGAAGTCAGGTCAGAACAACGCCAAGATGTCTCGGAGGTTCCCCTGATTCAAACCACCATGCTCCATCATTAAACCATCATTTTTCATCTGAGAAACGCGGTGGTCTTCCATCTGAAGAGTGAATAGCTGGTTGGTTAATGGTTAAGAGTGGTTAATGATGGTTAATGGTTGGTTAAAAAATTGGCTGGTTGGTGGTTGAGCCACCTACCCCTCTGAAAAATGATGGACTGAAAGTCAGTTGGGATGATTTTCCATTCCCAATATGATGGGAAAGTCATAAAATTCCATGGTTCCAGTCACCACCAACCAGATATCTCATTAACCATTCTTAACCATTCTTAACCATTCTTAACCATTCTTAACCATTCTTAACCATTCTTAACCATTCTTAACCATTCTTAACCATTCTTAACCATTATTAACGACTATTAACCATTATTAACCATTATTAACCATTATTAACCATTATTAACCATTATTAACCATTATTAACCATTATTAACCATTATTAACCATTATTAACCATTATTAACCATTCTTAACCATTCTTAACCATTCTTAACCATTCTTAACCATTCTTAACCATTCTTAACCATTATTAACCATTATTAACCATTATTAACCATTATTAACCATTATTAACCATTATTAACCATTATTAACCATTATTAACCATTATTAACCATTATTAACCATTCTTAACCACTATTATCCCATCATCATCATCCATCGTTTTCCATTTCAAACGTCTTTCCCAGCGCACATGATGCCAGTGAGATGGACCTGGTCATGGCTCCAAACCCCATCCTTCCACATCAGATCGCCGCCGATGCCCGAGCCTCCCAAGGGGGCTGGGTGTCATGGCCGGTCTATGGAGACGTTGATGCTGGAGACCGTTGGTTACGACCCGGTGACCCTCTGGTAAACTAACATAACTATGGTGGAAAATCACCACTTTTAATGGGAAAACTCACTATAAATGGCCATTTTCAATAGCTATGTTAAATTACCAGAGGGTAATTTGAACGTTTTTTAGAGGTGGACGTTGATTTTTGCACGTTTCATGGAAGTATTGCACGGTTCATAGAAGTCATGCACGGTTCATAGAAGTATGCACGTTTCACACGCCCGCCATGACGTTCTTGTGGGGAACTCTATCTATAGTTATATGTTCTTTCTTGTTGGAATTGCAATGAAATGTTGGAACCAGAGACTCTGGGACTATGTGTATGCCTTTCAATGGAGAAAGAACAACAAAGGTTGTCTCTGGAAGGCTGTGGGGCAGCTGGCACGTCGGAGACAAAAGTGGCGCCGTCTTTTGCAGATCAAATGCTCAGTTGACCAATGAGCAAACCGTCAGGGTCATTATCAACGTCTTGACCTTGTTTATGTTGTTTATTGGGATTAATCCTTGGGATATATATCGGGATAATCATGGGATAATCCTAAGATTAGTAGGGATACTAGGTATTAATAGGGACAAATATATATATATACAGTTTACTAGGATCATCATGGGAAAGTATGTATGGGAAGAATATCTACCCATGTGATACAAAAAACGGTTTAACCGTGTATCCTAAGGCTACTATAATACTATATGTGTTGATTGGAAACATAACGATGATCCTTTGAGGTTTGGGCTCTTGGGGGCAATTTTGCCACGACATACCTACTGGTTGGTGGTTGAGCCACCAACCCCTCTGAAAAATATGAAAGTCAGTTGGGGTTACTATTCCCAACTGAATGGAAAAGTAATCCAAATGTTCCAAACCACCAACCAGCCTAAAATTTACGACTGGAATTTGAAAATATAAGGAATGCAACATGGCACGAGTTGAGGCAGACTTTCACTGTGCCCAGTTGGTGCTGGTTCCAGGCAAGTGTTCAAGGCAAACACCTTTGAAATTAAGCATTGGTACATAGTGGTTTCTACTTACCCTTTGATAATTTAACGTAGCTATTGAAAATGATCATGTATGATTGATTTACCAATTCTAAATTGTGATTTTCCAGTTCGCAAACTGTAAGTTTACCAGAGGGTAGGCATCCAAGTCTGATGATGAACTCCTGCTTGCAGCCGTCCTGTAACTCAGGCTATCCCACATCAAACTGAGGCGATCCCGTCGCATGGTTATCTTTGGTACCCAGCGACAACTCGCCAAACTGCAGGAAAGGGAACTTTCCCTCAAACTGGCCGACCGTTTCTCCACTGAAAAATGGCTGTACCGTCAAACCGGAGACCCCAAGATCCGGTGGTTTATAGAAACTGCCATCTTTAGGTTCCCAGGGCTACCCTTTTAGAACGCCAAAAATGATAGTTCTGGACTCATTCGATTTACGCCGTTGCAGCATGGCTGCAAATTAGTGGTGGATATCCCAACCAAGGTTAAGGGCACCCTCAAGTCCTATGGTTCATGATAATTCCTCATGGCACACGTTTTTTTGCTTGATTTTGCAGATAGATTAAGGTGTGTATACCTCGTTTACGGACCAAACCAAGTGTTCCCAGAATGGGGGGCCCAAAATTCAAATACTGTTTCCTGATGAATGATAACTTGGGCCCCATGACGTAGGGCACCCTCTTGACTCATTAATCCCAATGATCATTCACTGTGAATCATTGACTGATACTTGTACTTTACCCAGTTCTCACCGCAGTTACTGTAGCCAAAAAAACTGAAACCACGATTTTAGGAAACACGTACGGTATGTGATCCCATGTCTTGTGGTTAAAACCCATGTGGTCATATGGGTGTGTCTGAAAATCGGCTATACACCTATAACCAAGTTCAATTGCCATATGTCATGCTAAAATCCAGCAAAAAAACATGATCAAGCATAATCACAAAGCAACATGTCATGGTTTCATGTTTTTTCATTGCAAAATTCTGACAAGCAATATTTCATGGTTTCATGTTTTTTCATTGCAAAATTCTGACCCGTTATGATCAATATATATATATATGGGATATTATGGATGAATAATGGGATTATTAGATATGGGATTATTCTATATGGGATTATTCTATGGGACTATTATATATATATATGGGATTCTAACCCATTATATATATATACAATCCCACAGAATCCCATAGAATCCCGCCGACCACCCCACCTTTCTGCGGTCGCAGCTGCACTAAATGGAATCCACCAGGGCCCGAGCCGCTGGTGACCTCGACGGAGCCGCTGGTCGTTTGCTGTTAAACATACGGCATTTTTTAATGGAATATATATATGATATATACATATATATATATATAATGAATATATATATATATATAAATATGAATATAAATATGATATGATCTGATATGATATGATATGATCTGATATGATATGATATGATATGAAAGATAATGTAGTTATATGTTTACATGTTTATACTGGATATATATATATATATGTGACATATTGTTTCACAGGATTTAATATGTTTAACATGATATTGAGCAAATAATGCGAATATAACATATATATATAACATTATGTAACTATAATTACATACATACATACATAACATAACATAACATAACATAACATAACATAACATACATTACATATATATATATATGCATGTCAATGCATATTGATGTATATATTATATGTCATCTGGAAAATGTATGAAAAGGTCGATTGAAATATGTGGGTGGTTCTTAAACAAAGACAACGGTTTATTGCAAAAATGCTTGGGTTTTATCGACCGCTAGAAGTGCTTTTGGGATATTTTTGGGGGCACAAACGGAAACAACCGGCCAGCCAAGCTCCACGTCCATCCATCAAACATGTGGAATTTACCAATTTTGCTATGAGGAAATGGTTGATTTTTGGTTGGGATCTCAGACCTGCGGATTTACCCGAAATGGTAAACTTTAACACAAAACTATGGAAAGATCCACCATTTAGTTATAGTATGTTATAGTGAATGTTCCCAGCTACAAAATGGTGGATCTTTCCATCGTTTTTTGTTCACGTTTACCAGGTAACGGGGTAACAAACCACCAGAAATTGAGGATTACACCTGTGGTTTTTTCGGAGAAAAACCCGAGGATTGGACCAGTGGGGATGACCACCTATGATGACCTGTCGACAATATGACAATGCGCACCATGAAAAAGATCCAATAAAGATAACTTACTAACTTAAGGGTATAAGTAATATGGCATATAAGTGGATCTAACCACTATGCAAATATGGCATATGTTTGAAACACGAGCAGAAAAAAACAGATGTTTTCAGGTTTCGGGCGAGTTTTTGGTTTGGGGCGAGTTCCAAGATTTTTGAGGTCCATGATTTGGGGAAAGATTGAAGCCTCCAGTAGGATGATCTTCATCCTGAGCAGTTGGGGAATCATCCCATTTTCACTGGGCTCCTGGTTCTTTTTTGACCCAAACCAATCCCCAGAGCCTCCATTCTTTGGTGATAAATCCTCACGATTTCTGGATAAGTCATGAGTAAAATCTCATATTTTTTGCCAGGTAAATCATGAACAGATCTATATATCTCCATGTTTGCAAAAACTCACAAACTCAGAATTTATGCTAGTAGCCTCCATGTTTTTTGAATTGTTAGTAGAATTCTTGCAGCAAAACCTCCAATAAATTCTGGTGAAAAACTCACCGTGGATGTGGATGTTTTCAAAGCGCCATGTTTTGCCAGACAAGAAATCCATAGGAAAAATCCACCCATTTGTCCCAGCGAAACCCAAGAAATCCATAGAAATCCACGCAGTCTACTCGAGTTTTACCATGTGTTCAACCATGTTTTACCTGAATACCACCAGTTTTTGCTCTTTTTTTCTACGTGTCTCAACATATTTTTGGAGCAAAAATTCCCCAGCATTTCACCACCATTGCTGTGATGATGTTTCCCCATTTTTGTTCACAGGTTTTCCCTACGAAAATCCATTTTTTCACCATTTTTTCACCATTTTTTCACCATTTTTCCAGGAAATCCCCCAAAAAATGCTGAAAAATACCAGCGAAAATCTCCGGTCGTTCTTTCGCCGCGGCGCAAAGTGCATGACCTCCTTGGGCCGGCAGCTCTCCGGGAGGATGGCCACCGGCCGCTTGGAGTCCGAGCCCTGGCTCGGTGCGGGCTCGGTGATGGCCGGGTGGAGGTAGTTATTTCATCTGGTTAATGATGGTTAATGATGGTTAATAGTGGTTAATAGTGTTTTTTATATGACACTTCTTTTCAGTGGTGATTTTATCTGGTTAATAGTGGTTAATGATGGTTGATAGTGGTTAATAGTGTTTTTTATATGACACTTCTTTTCAGTGGTGATCTTATCTGGTTAATAGTGGTTAATGATGGTTGATAGTGGTTAATAGTGTTTTTTATATGACACTTCTTTTCAGTGGTGATTTTATCTGGTTAATAGTGGTTAATGATGGTTGATAGTGGTTAATAGTGTTTTTTATATGACACTTCTTTTCAGTGGTGATTTTATCTGGTTAATAGTGGTTAATGATGCTTGATAGTGGTTAATAGTGTTTTTTATATGACACTTCTTTTCAGTGGTGATTTTATCTGGTTAATAGTGGTTAATGATGGTTAATAGTGGTTAATAGTGTTTTTTATATGACACTTCTTTTCAGTGGTGATTTTATCTGGTTAATAGTGGTTAATGATGGTTAATATGGTTGATAGTGTTTTTATATGACACTTCTTTTCAGTGGTGATTTTATCTGGTTAATAGTGGTTAATGATGGTTAATATGGTTAATAGTGTTTTTTATATGACACGTCTTTTCAGTGGTGATTTTATCTGGTTAATAGTGGTTAATGATGGTTAATATGGTTAATATGGTTAATAGTGGTTAATGATGGTTAATGATGGTTAATAGTGGTTAATAGTGTTTTTTATATGACACTTCTTTTCAGTGGTGATTTTATCTGGTTAATAGTGGTTAATGATGGTTAATAGTGGTTAATAGTGTTTTTTATATGACACTTCTTTTCAGTGGTGATTTTATCTGGTTAATGATGGTTAATAGTGGTTAATATGGTTAATATGGTTAATATGGTTAATAGTGGTTAATGATGGTTAATAGTGGTTAATAGTGTTTTTTATATGACACTTCTTTTCAGTGGTGATTTTATCTGGTTAATGATGGTTAATAGTGGTTAATAGTGGTTAATATGGTTAATATGGTTAATATGGTTAATAGTGGTTAATGATGGTTAATAGTGGTTAATAGTGTTTTTTATATGACACTTCTTTTCAGTGGTGATTTTATCTGGTTAATGATGGTTAATAGTGGTTAATATGGTTAATATGGTTAATAGTGGTTAATGATGGTTAATAGTGGTTAATAGTGTTTTTTATATGACACTTCTTTTCAGTGGTGATTTTATCTGGTTAATAGTGGTTAATGATGGTTAATATGGTTGATAGTGTTTTTATATGACACTTCTTTTCAGTGGTGATTTTATCTGGTTAATAGTGGTTAATGATGGTTAATATGGTTAATAGTGTTTTTTATATGACACGTCTTTTCAGTGGTGATTTTATCTGGTTAATAGTGGTTAATGATGGTTAATATGGTTAATATGGTTAATAGTGGTTAATGATGGTTAATGATGGTTAATAGTGGTTAATAGTGTTTTTTATATGACACTTCTTTTCAGTGGTGATTTTATCTGGTTAATAGTGGTTAATGATGGTTAATAGTGGTTAATAGTGTTTTTTATATGACACTTCTTTTCAGTGGTGATTTTATCTGGTTAATGATGGTTAATAGTGGTTAATATGGTTAATATGGTTAATATGGTTAATAGTGGTTAATGATGGTTAATAGTGGTTAATAGTGTTTTTTATATGACACTTCTTTTCAGTGGTGATTTTATCTGGTTAATGATGGTTAATAGTGGTTAATATGGTTAATATGGTTAATATGGTTAATATGGTTAATAGTGGTTAATGATGGTTAATAGTGGTTAATAGTGTTTTTATATGACACTTCTTTTCAGTGGTGATTTTATCTGGTTAATAGTGGTTATATGGATGCTTGATTAGTGGTTAATAGTGTTTTTTATATGACACTTCTTTTCAGTGGTGATTTTATCTGGTTAATAGTGGTTAATGATGGTTGATAGTGGTTAATAGTGTTTTTTATATGACACTTCTTTTCAGTGGTGATTTTATCTGGTTAATAGTGGTTAATGATGGTTAATGATGGTTAATGGTGATTTTATCTGGTGGATTTAGCCAGCTACCAAATGGTGTTGATTTTCCCATAGTTTTTATTGTATGTTTTCCAAATGTGCCAAACCACCATTTTGATGGTTAATGATGGTTAATCATTGGTTAAATAGATTATATAATCAACATCTTCTGACTGGTGGTTGAGCCCTACCCCGCTGAATAAATGGTTGGTTAATGGCTAATAATGGTTGATAGTGATTAATGATGGTTAATCATTGGTTAAACATATATATAGTGGATTAACAGTTTGCTATTTAAAAATGCCATTGAAAAAGTAGATTTACCCAACAAAATGGTGGATCTTTCCATAGTCTTTTGTATGTTTACCAAAGGGTATATCATACCCCATGATGAAACAGATTAAACAATATATATATAATAGGTATTGTTGGTGTATATCACTAATATCTGTGATATAAATAATAACATATGGTGGTACTAAAAAAAATAGATCTAGTGCTAACATTAATTAATTACTACTTATCACTGGATGGGAACTAATGTCTAGTGATAATACACCATTAAACAAATGAAACTAGTGGTAATTATATATGGTTGTAATTTATACTGTTTACAGTTTACAGTCTGATATAGTGATCATGTAATAGTTTTTTTGTGGTAATATAGTGCCAAAATCTACTATCTTAGTGAATTTGGATGAAAATTAGTATGTACTAGTAATATTTAGCAATACTATTGATCATATATCGTGATACTATATAGTCATAATGTCCAGTGTATAGTGATTAGTGATCACTACTATTGGTGATAGGTGATTAGTGATTGCTATTGGCACCCTATTAGTAACTGGATACCCAAATATTATCAAATATCATACTATCTGTCAGTATAAGATAGTAAGTGGATGATAATGTGGTTAATAACTGTATGATATAGTGTGATATAGTAACCGGGTGATAAACCAAAAATATCATATATACTGTATCCCAAATAGAATCCACGGGTTGGCTAACAAACCATGGCCCATCTAAGTATGCAGGTGGCATTAGGTATTCTAAAAATACGTAACTCTGCAGATTTTAGATGATGGTACGTGATCTCATATATGTATCTAAGATTTGGTGTATTCTACCTATATCAAATACATGATTTCTACACATATCACATATCATAGATTCCCAATATCTATCTTAATCATAGTTGGATATGACATGTACAAGTGGAATACAGGAATGGATAGAATCATATATCATCAATGTACGGAGATGTGTATCAGCATGTCATCAGCCATTTCTTTCACAATTGATAGACATGTTGTCACATGTTTGTAGCTTCAAGGCCTTCAAGCTTCAAAGCCCCATTGCTGCCATTGATCTTCTTGCTGCTTGTTGATGGCACACCCCATGGTCATCCCATGTCTGTCACGGTTAGTCATCCATATGCCATGGAAAATTTATTGATGACTGGTTGGTGGTTTCAACCTACCCCTCTGAAAAATGATGGAGTTCGTCAGTTGGGATGATTATTCCCAACATATGGGAAAAGAAAAAATGTTCCAAACCACCAACCAGAAAATATATTGATGAATATTGATGATCCATCACCTACCCCGCATCTTGGTGGATCATGATTCCACGGTCCTCGTAACTGTCGGACTAGGATCACCAGTGAAAGAAACCTCGTGAATTTTCATGGCATAAGCAACTTACTAGGGGACTTACTATCACCAGGCTTGTGAAAACCAATTCCCAAGTTCCAGCTACTGAGAATAGCGCTTCATAACCAAAAAAAAACACCCGGTTACCATCTGGTTATTTAACAGTTTGCCATGGAAAATCACCATTTTTAAGAACGGTAAACCATCTATTTCTATGGGCCATCGAAAAACCATGGCTATGTAACAAATAACCAGGTTGGGTGTATGTTGGTCATCAACCAGTTCCCATCATCCATGATCCTCCCATTAACTAACCGTGTCGAGATGCGAAGAAACACTCGTGCAGGTGCCCTTGTAGGCACACTAAGCGCGAGCTTCCCACGTCCACCGTGTGCAGCGTCACCTGATGCCGCTGGTGAAGAAGGAAGAGAACTCGGTCATAGTGACTGGAAACATCTTGAAACATCATACCACAAAATAGAAAATGGGTCAGGAAAAAATGGAAAAAAGGCTTCGAACTGGGCTGGAAAGTGATTGTTCTTATTGTTTTATCAAGATGTTGTGATTTCCCCCATGCATTAAGAGAGTGATCTGACAATCGCTGGTCAGAACATTGGGGGATCGTGCCAAGAACTAGGAGAATTTCTTTAAAGTCCTGTTGATATCTGTTGGCACTTGGGAAAAATGACCACCCGACCATGAACCACTCAAAGAGTGAAGCCCTGGTAAGGTCGTTGTAGCGTGGCAAGCAATCATACCGCTTTGACACCAGAAATATAATAAGATTTGTGTGTGTGTTCAAGCAGTCTTGCAGTATCATGTCGACTCTCATTGGTGATGTTTAATGAGTGATAATGTGTCATAATGGATCATTTTCTTTAGCATAGATCCCATAAAAATATTTGTTTCAAACAAACACCAGCATGTTTTTCCTAGTTCAATCTATTTCATAAACATCAACCATGATGATAAAATCTATAAACCATGGAAGGATGGGATGACGGAATTTTGGGGAGAAAAACCCTGATCCCACCACGATATTGACCATTCATCATGCACCCATACCCTCTGGTAAACATACAAAAAACGATGGAAAATCACCATTTTTAATGGGTAAATCCACTATTTCTATGCCCATGTTCAATAGCTGTTTGTTAGTTTACCAGGCTGGGTATCCCAAGTCATGACTCACCAGCCACCCCCATGACCTCGTCTGTGAGGGACAGGCCGCCCGTCTTGCAGAAGCGGATCGCGGACAAGTCCTTGGAAGAAAGATCACCCAAAGGGGCAAGGGGGCACCTGGAAAAATCATGAAGGAAACCAATGGAAACCATCCCCAAAAGCACAAGTTCTCCATGGGATTCATATATATATATATACATATTCTAATGGATCTGGAACTTGGACTTTCTGCATAAATCCACATGATTCATATTCAATGTTCGTTTGGTGGGTTCAAAGGTGCGGTGCCTTTCGGTCAAATCACCAGCATCCCCCGTCCCGCATCCCCGTAGCGTAAACGTCGCAACGGGAATTCAGTGCAAATCTATGATTTATTGCTTGGGAAAATCCATTATAAATGGAGGTTTGAACATAGCTATGGAAAATCCATTATAAATGGAGGTTTCTAGCTGGGAAAATCATCTGTTTCTATGGGCAATTTTCCATGGCTATGTTAAATACCCAGAGGGTATATCCTCCTATATCCTCCTATTCCTTGCTCAAAATCCTGATGTTCGCTGTGTAAACCCCCAACTTCTCTGGATGAAACCCTGAATTTCCGCCTTCGACCCCCAGCTGTTTTGCCAGTTTCAAGCCCAAGTTTTTGCCCGGAAAACCGCCACCCAGCATCCACCATCCACCCCATGGCAAGGTGGTGCCCCCTAGTTATAATTAAGTCTTGAAGTTGATTTATGGAACCATCTTACTATAGAGATATGTGTATACCTTAAACCACAGGTAACTTATGAACCAACCTGACTAAGTATGCCTAGTTAAATCACTAACCTTTTTTTATGACCGAGTAATGACCCCTAAGTCTTACAATCATGTTCAATATCACTTTTCTTCCTGAAAAACTTAGCTCTACCGGGGAACCACCGGGGCACCAGGGCACCACGACCCACGTGACCCACGTGACCGTCGTCGCCCCGAGAGTCGATGGCTCCCTGCATCTCCCGCGTGGAGTGGCCGCAGATCCAGCCGTCCGGCGTCACGGTCAACGTCACGCGGCTCGAGGTGTAGGTCACGTGGCCTTGGACGGCGTCCAGGGCGGCGAGGTCGCGGCGAGGTCGGAGGTCACTTCCGTTACCCTCCGGTAAACACACAAAAAGCTATTGAAAATGACCATAGAAATAGTGGATTTATCCATTAAATATTAAAAATTGTGATTTTCCATAGTTTTCCATATATACTTTCATGGGAAATTCACCATAAATGGTGACTTTCCATAAGATATTGGGATGATATATGGTGATATTGCCCATATATTACCATCTGGCTATGACTAACAGTTTGCCATGGAAAGATCCACCATGTTTAATAGGTAAACCCAGGTAAACCATCTAATCTATACCATGGCTATGTTAAATAACCAGAGGGTAACTATAAACTATATATGGTAAGTAACCAATCATATACCAATATCATCCAATATCTAGCATGTTTACTGCTCGTTTAAGTATGATTCACTATCATATCTACTATTATTCACCATATCCCCATTATATATATATATATCTTTGATATCATGATAATGAATAATTGGTATATGATTGGTAACTTACCATATATACCAATATATTCACCATATTGATATCAAATCCTACAGCAATATCATCGCAATCTTCCGGGCGAACTCGCGCAGCCAAGAAGCCGCCCACATCGTAGGCCTCCCGCGAGAGCGCTGCAAACTGCAGGCCGCGCCGGGGCCGCGCCTGCGTCGAGTCGTGGCGTCGAGTCGCTGGGACGCCACGGGGGCAGAGGTTACAAAGGTAGACGATAGGGAACAAGTGTTAGTTAATGGTTTTCAATGGTTAGAATAGTTGATGGTTATTAATGGTTAGTTAATGGTGGTTAACAATGGTTAGCTACTGGTTGACAATGGTTAGTTACTGGTTAACAATGGTTAGTTAACAGTTAACAATGGTTAGTTAACAGTTAAGAATGGTTATCAATGGTTAGCTAAGGCCAATGTCAACCTTGGATAAATAAATCCCGGTGTCTTAATTACATTTAATTACGGTGGTGCTCCCAAAAAATTGTGTGTGTCATGATGTCATCTGATACTTACATGGTACACCCCCCAAGTAAACAGCCTAAGGGCCTAAGGGTTTATTAATCCAGGCTTGACATTAACCATGGCATTTTGACAACCCCTATAACTTAGGATATGGGGCCCCAAAAAAACTATGGTGAAACAGATGAAATAGTACAACTCTTATAACGGAGAACGGATCGTATACAAGTGCTTGCGTTGAAAGTTCTTCAGAATGATCTCGACGATCTCTCCATCATCTGACCAACTTTTCGGCGGTCCATTTTGGAGGTGTACTAATATGTCCCAGCCATTGCACCATTGCTGGCAAATCATGGTTGGTTCCCATATATTAATTGCCACGTATCTGGTGAACCTGGCCATTTTTCACATTCACCATATGCCAATGATCTGTCCCAAGTTTCCGTAAAAAATTGGGATGATGTCCCCCCATTTCTAGGTGACAGTGTTATGTTTCATATATTTTTCCGTAAGATATTGGGATGATATATGGTGATATTGCCCATATATTACTCTCTGGTTATTTAACATAGCCATGGAAGCCATGGCCCATAGAAATAGATGGTTTACCTCTTAATAGCATGGTGGATCTTTCCATTGCAAACTGTGAATGTCATAACCAGATGGGTGTAACCTCCATTTTCCTATGGTTTTCCTATGGTTTTCCCAGCTATAAACCTCCATTTTCCTATGGCTTAGTCATAACCACATGTTTCCTATGCAGACCATGGCCATCTCTGAAAAAATCTCCGGCTGCGTTTTTTTTTCAACGGTCGTCCCGGATAAACGGCGGCACCTCCACCGGTAAACGGCAGATCTGGATGTTCCTGCGCCCAGGGTCCCAGGACCTCCTGGAGAAGCCTTTGAAAGTGCATCCATCTGCCATCTGAACAACGAATAACTGGTTGGTTAATGGTTAATAGATGTTAATAGTGGTTAATCATTGGTTAATTATGGCTGGTTGGTGCCTGAGCCTAGCCCTCTGAAAAATGATGGACTGAGCTCGTCAGTTGGGATGATGACATTCCCAACTGAATGGGAAAAAAATGTTCCAAACCACCAACCGGGTCAAATTTTAGAAGATGATCTGGAAAAAAATACTTGGAAGCAATCCGTCAAGAACTTAGAACTAAAATCCAAATGGAAGATGTTCTGCACCAACAGTTTGCCATCAAAAACCTTAGATACTCCACAAAGAAGGCTCACTTTCTGCCGGACTTCCAAAATATTCAAAACTTATCCTTCTCATCTGGCCCCTGCCTCTCTGTTCCACAGGTCTTGCCCTATCCCTTCCCGCCCGCTGTTCACTCGCCTGCCGTTCTCGGGGTCGTGGGTCTTCGGACAGGTGCCGATCACCACCCCCCGGCACTGGATGAAGGAATCTTCCAGCAGATAGCACCTCAGCAATGGCTACTTGGAGGATCATCGCTATTTCTAGCCAATAAAAACTATATAAAGCTGGCAATACGGCGTTTCTTGCCCATGATCTTAGGATATCAACCTGCAAATACTTTCGGATGTTACATGTTACCCTCCAGTAAACTAACATTGCTATTGAAAATTGACCATTTATAGTGGATTTACAGTTCCCATTAAAAATTGTGATTTTCCATAGTTATGTTAGTTTACCAGAGGGTATCTTCCAGATATTTCTGATGCTCTCCGCGACCACCAGGTGCCCCCCACCACACACTGCCCTGCGCCGTGAAGTTCTCCGGCGCCAGGCGGATGGACAGCGGTTTCGCGCCCTGGCGAAGTTCATGCCGCTGGGGGGTGGAAAATCCCCCGTTGGAGATTAGTCCTCTGGTAGTGACTAACATAACTATGGAAAATCACCATTCTCAACGGGTAAATCCACTATAAATGACCAAAAGCTATTGAAAATGGCCATAGAAATCATTGATTTTCCCAGCTACAAAATGATGGATCTTTCCAGTTATGTGGCTGTTTACCAGAGGGTAGTCCTTTGCTGGAAAAAAAAGATGGAAAAATGCCCGTCTTGGTGCGGGAAAAGAAGCTCCCAGTTTTGACCCGCGCGAGTTCTTTGGGGAGTTGTTTGGGGTTCAGAAACGTCGGTGAAAATGATAGTGGTTGGTGGTTTTCCCATATATTATGGAAAATAAAAAATGTTCCAAACCACCAACCAGGATAGTGCGGTAAACCCAATGCCATAAAGCTACCAGCTGGGGATGAAATATATCGAAATCCCACCCCATAAGATGGTGATTTTGGGGGCCGTTTTATTGTGGGCTTTACCCAGGGTTTGCCACATTATCCAAAGAGAGCCACTAGGGGCCAGGGCAGTTTGGACTCCAAACATACCAGAATCCACCGGATAGATTCGGATAGATACTAGCAAATTACTGAAACCACTAATAAATTACTAGAATCTATAGTTACTATAGTTATGTTTGCTATAAATCTTTAGTCTATGTTTTTTGGTTTGTAACGCCCATTGACTGTAGTAATTACTAGTTCGATGTATCATAAACCACTTTGCAGGCCCTTGATTTTCATGCCGATCCCTGGTGCAAATGGACTTACAATTGATATAGATCCTCACCACAAATGATTACCCCAAGGAGTAAACCACATTCAGATAGATTCCAATACTTCATCGACAGAGGGATGGAAGAAAAAAGTCAGCTTAGGGCTGTTCCGGACAGGAAAATAGAAAAATGAAAACATCACTTATCTGGTTGGTGGTTTTAACCATCTTGAAAAATATGAAAGTCAGTTGGGGTTTATTATTCCCAATATATTATGCAAAAATAAAATTCATGTTCCAGACCACCAACCAGCTATGGTTAAGATTACCATATTGATGGTGAATATGAAAACGCATAAGTTATTATATTATGGAAAGATCCACCGTTTTTTATGGGAAAAAACTCACTATTTCGATTAGGGCCATATGGCCATGTTCAACCAGGCCGGGTATGGTGGGCTCAGGTTATCACCTCCAGCCCTGGGTCCTGGGTCCCCCATGGTCCAATTTTTTGGACGTCACGAGCTGCCGATCCGCACGACGATAAGGACAGACGGACGAAATTCGGAGGAATTGGATCCCCAAAAAGCCATGGCCATTGCCATGTTGGGATAGTTTTTATATGTTTTTTTCAGAGTTCATTATCCTCTGGTAAACGTTTACATAGCTCTTGAACATCACCATGTTTAGTGGGTTTTAAATCAACTATAAATGGAATCAACTATAAATGGCCATTTTCAATAGCAAACTGTTAAATTGCCAGAGGGTAACATCAAAGATTTACAACATGAATCAACGTGAACTATCCCGGTTGGCCAATTCAAGTCGCACCATGTAACGGCCGATGCGTTTTGCCGATGCTCACAGCGACGGCGCCGGGCTGCAGGCCCCAATGGGGGGGGCGCGCTCCGCAATCATGCTGCGGCTCTCCTGAAGTGCAGATGCTGGCTGTAGAAGCATGACTGGTTGGTGGTATACCTACCCCTCTGAAAAACATTAGTCAATGGGAAGGATTATCCCATGCATTATGGAAAACAAAAAATGTTTGAAACCACCAACCAGATAAAAATGTCGGATCAAACCAACAAAACCAAGGTACTACTAAGTATCTCGACGAACCCAAATGACCGATGTTGTAGTAGGATTTTGCATGTCTTGACGGTGGATGAAGCATCCAAAATAGAGGTCACTTGGGTACCATCCTCAGGGATTCACACGAATAGTCACCATCTCTGAAAAATGCCTTCTGTTATGGTTAATTTCAAAGCCCCCAAATCGGTGATGACTGTGCATGGTCTTTTTGGGATGTCTGAAAATCAGGGAGTTATACTACCCAGCATTGCAATGTTAAGCGAAAAAATATAACTAATCATGTGTCATCTTCACCATGAATGTAGTTGTTCTCATTTATCCACATCACCTATGATCACTAGATAACTGATAACCTATGATAACCTATGATAACATCACCTATGATCACCTATGATTTGTTTTTCTCTGAATGTAATCTATAGATTATGATAGCTATATGATAACCTATGATTCATTCATCATGAATGGGGTCAGTTAACCCAGACTGACCCTATGATCGCCCCAATGTGATCTCTCTCGGCCGGGTTGCTTGGTCCGTCACTAGTTCATTGATGAACTAATCTGATGCAAGTACAACAACAGGAACAACGAGAATATACATAACAACAAATAGTAAGAACAATACTAGTAAGAATAATGACACATAATTTGCATGTTTACTTCATAATCATGAGTTCGAGTATATTAGCAGAATTCATGTGATAAGCCCAATTTCAGACACCATCCCCAAGTCATCGCCATGTCCACATGGGATAAACCAACCATCCCCAAGTGGTAGTTGTTGATGGCAGCCAGGGTTGCCCACATTATTCCAGTTGTCCATTCATCATCATTGTTGCAATGTTATCTACCCGTATAATATCATTATAACATCATTATAACATAATAATTGACCATCATGATTTTTTTCATCATTGTTGCTTAATAGCTATGGACAATCATTATATACCCGTTAAACTAACCATGTTTTTCCCATCATTGTCCATGTTGGGATGGGAGAAAGGTCTCCCACATTCTTATCATTAACATTAAATATCGTTGGGATGGGTTTCCCACATGGGATCATTAACTACAAAGTTTATCTTATCATTAATTATATACATATAACTCACTTATTATCAACATCATCAACTAATCATCAACTAATCTTCCATAATCAACCAACATCAACTAATCTTCGATAATCAGCCAATCTTCAATAATCATACTAATCTATAATCATCATACTAATCATACTAATCTATAATTCTATAGTCATCAACCAACCAACAACCAACCAACATGGAGCCCATCAACCTGTCCGATGTCCACGGCTTCGTTTCGCAGCCCCGCCTCCTCGGTATAGAGGCAGCCTCGGAAGCTCTTGCGAAAGGCATAGCAGCCGGCCGCCAGAAAGGCCGAGGCCTCGCGGGTCTTCGTTTTTTCGGCAGATGGATCACATACAAAAGGCCTGGTAAACGTTTACCATAGGAAAACCATAGGAAAACCATAGGAAAACCATAGGAAAATGGAGGTTTACCCTGTGGTTATGTCAAAAAACTATGGGAAATCACCATTTTCAATGGGTAAATCCACTATAAATGACCAAAAGCTATGGAAAATGGCCATTTAGTTCGTTGATTTTCCCATGAAAATTATGATGGATCTTTCCATAGTTATGTAAAGGTTTACCAGAAGGGTACAACATTGGGATAGCCATCATTTTAATGATACGCATCAGTCATGATAAGTCATGATAATTCATGATAATTCATGAAAATTCATGATACCTGTTAGCCTTGTTTTATGAATATGTTGATGAGCTACTAAGATGAGTAATATGGATCTCACCCATTGATGATAGCCATAATAATATGCCATAATTCATCATGAATCAAATGAATCATCAATATGTTATTCAGAATGGGGACGGAATTGAAAAAATTGGGACGTCACTGTGACGTCACTCCGAACAAAATGATGTCAGACCAACTACTGGGAGGAATTGAATGTCCAGAGGCTAAGAAAAAGGCTCAACTTCAGCCTACAAACTGAAAAAAAAAGGGGGGTCGATCAGAGAATCTTCTTGCTTGGGTGAATCTCATGTGTTTGCACTAGGATACCCCATTCTTTTGTGGCTAATCTGTTGCGGTTGGACATGGCAATGTGGCAATCCAAGCTGCCAGTGGAACCGCCCCTGTGAAAAAAAAATACCTTAAAAATGATGGATCAAATGATGTTGCACCCCATGGTTGTTGCTTACTTCCCCAAACTGCTCTTATTGTAAACCACCATTTTCGGTTGATTAGAATTACGATTTTGGCCCATAAACTCTCATTTTTCTTTGTACCATATTAGCTGCGTCCATTGGTAAAATCCCAATTTTTTCCGCGGTCGAAAAATAGATGGGTTTTCCATCCCCCCATACAGCTGGCAAGTGACTCCTACGCCCAGGAAGACGAAGACCACCGCAGGCAGGTCCCACCTAAGCTGCGTCAAATTTCAATTAAAGTGGTGGATTTTTCATGAGTTGTCCTAATCAAAAGTGGTAGTTTCGTTACTTCAAACTAATTTCAAAAAACACAAAGTTACTGATTTACTAGCAAAAAACAATTCTTCAACCACCAAAGCGTGTCTTTAGTAAGGAAATGTTGGAGAATTCAACCCGTGCGGGATCATATGAATTTCAACATTGGAAAGGCCAGCAAAAATGATGCTTCATTTTTTCTACAAGTCTCCATTGCTCCGTTGTAAAAGTGGCCCTGAGCGTCCGAAATGTTTATTCCGAAAAATTGTGTTTTTTCGATTTGAGGGAATGGACGTTCCAAAACATTTTTACAAACAGCAACAAAATTGGCACGGAAATATCTGACTTCTGGTCGATTCATGAAGGAGTTTCATCATTTGACTCAAATTTACAGCATCGATTTTTCCCTGAGGCAACGCATGTTCAAACGTTCAAACATTGTTTTTTTAACAGCGCCTTCTGTAAGAACAAAATTACAAAAAAAAAAGAAAACAGCGGGAAAACAATGCGCAAAGTGCATATGCATCTAACTGGTTCAAAAAAAGGATTACCCTCTGGTAAACTAACGTAATTATGGAAAATCACCATTTTTGTAGCTGGGTAAATCCACTATACATGGCCATGTTCAATAGCTTTTTGTATGTTTACCAGAGAGTAGTAATCCTAAAATCGGATTTCAACAGCTCTCGTGCCGCCCAAGCGCTGCGGCCGTTTAGGCGAAATGGTCCCCGTGGCCGGAGTGACGGGGGCAGCACAGAGCCTGCAGCTCAGCACGGATATGGCGTTGTTTGGTCGGGAGCATCAGAGGAATGACCAAAAACCATGGATTTAGACTGGAATATTCCATTTTCACAATCATCACCCATCAATTTACACTATTTGTTGAATAAATATTCCATTTAAATCACGGTGGTAAATATTACCATCAAATTCCGCAAAAAAATCACGGTGGATATTTAAATTATTTACCATGGAAATCAGGGGTTTTTTGGTTCACCATTGAATATATCGGGCATTTTTATTCCACAAAAACCAGGGGCTTTTTCATGAGAAAAAACCCTGGAATTCCATGGTGATACAAAAATTGGGCTTCAATGGGATGAGAATGATTGAATGGCTGCTGATGGGACATATATTTGGCTATGGAAAAATGAGATGGTAAGTTGGTTATTTATATGGTTTAATGGTGATATTTCACCACCCGAAAAATGGAGATGACTCATAGGTATAGAACCATTTATATGAAGTATATGGGGATATCAACCAACAAAAATAGGGATGTCACGAACAAATGATGGGAAAACGGTGGTATAAACTGACAATTATGCAGATATCTTGTGGAGTTATAATGGATATATGAGCAGATACGATGATGACTATCAACAATGTTATGTTGATATCATGGAGATGTAGTGGGATATGGCGCATGATGATGGAGAAATGGAGAAAAGATGGGATATCATGAGGACATGACCAATAGTACGATTTGGGTTTGTCCGAATATGGGAAACTCAAACACCCAAGTTATGGTTGATTACGTGGTGATACAACCACCAAAAACGGTGATAGTGCAGGTATGAAATCAACCACAGTGGCAATATCATGGAGTATGGCAGGGTTATAATTTGATTTACTGGCATCGTTTTCAACCATGGGATTTGGCTGGTTCTCCCACAATTTTCGATCAAAGCCATATTCAAATGGTCCTATCACGGCTGGATGAACGTCCTGTTAGGTCTGTGAGCCAGTGACATCAAACCATCAGAACGAGAAAGGTGAAGAAATGTGGAGGCGTCTGATATAGTCTCATACCGGCCTATGAAGAAACATAGCTATAAAAAATAACCTTTTTTTTGTTCAAGATATACAGTGAATCAAAATGGGCCATTCCATAGCTAGGTAATTGTTTACCAGAGGGTAAACCTCCATTTTCCTATGGTTTTCCTATAGTCATATAGTTTTCCCATTCAAACCTCCATTTTCCTATGGGTTTATGGTGGATATATCTGCTAGAATGTTGCTTGCTAGAATGCTTGTTGTTTGACTGTCATTCCACCACTTGACGAGTTCATCGACTCGTCGAGTTCACATATTTTTCTGCTATTAGCGCGAAGTTGTCGCTGTCTCCGCTCCGGCAAACTGTTACAAAAAACTATGGTAAGATCCACTATCTTTAATAGGTAAATCAACTATTTCTATGGGCCATGGCTTCAATAGCAAACTGCTAGTCATTACCAGAGGGTATCCCGTTTCTTGTTGGTGATAACCAGCGACCAACAGCAGCTGAAAAAATCTGTAAATCCTATCTGCTCCACTTTTCCTGCGCAAAATTTCCCATGTTCATTGCTTAAATGGTGAATAAATTCCGAAGTCCCCATTGTTTGCCAACTTCAAGTCACATCAATTCCCATTTTCACCAGGTGTTTCACATATTTTCCCTATGTTCACCAGGGTTTCCATGGTTTTTCCCCATGTTTTCCCCATGTTCCACGGGGTTTTTTCGCCCACGTCCCAGGCGTCCCAGGCGTCCCAGGCGTCCCAGGCGCTTCAGCTCGAAGTTGTCGCAGGCGGTGCACCAGGCCTTGAGGCTGCCGAGGCCGCGCCGCGCGACGATGGACTCAAACCTTCTCCGAGTCATCGGCGATCAATGGCCATATAGCATATTTGATGGTACCTCTCTGGTATAATATGGATAAATATGGATTAATATGGATTAATATGGATTGATATGGATTAATATGGATTAATATGGATTAAAAAAAGATTAATCTGGATTATATAATATGGATTAATATGGCGATATTGATCTTCATATAATATGGATTAATATGGTATATATGGTACCTATCTATGATATATATATATATATGATATATTTATTCCATATAATAGACAATACTACCATAGATATAGCAATAATGGACATGTTGTTATATATGGTACCTATATCTATGATATATATATATATATGATATATTTATTCCATATAATAGACAATACTACCATAGATATAGCAATAACGGACATGCCGCGATCTATATCATGGATAATATATTACATGTATGGCATATAATGATATATTATATAAATAATGATAATATATCATTCCATATGTGATATTCCATATTATCATAGATGATCAAATAATATATTCCATCTTATATAGAAAAAATATAGCATATCATATATAATATCATATCAATGGCTGGTATAGATTTAATGTTGTAGATATATATATATACACAGAGAGAGAGAGAGGAAAAAAAAAAGAGATCCAATATACAGATCTTTATGGATAAGTGTCTGATATCTCTATAAATGTCTGATATATCTCTTTAATCTATGGAATTGATCCTCATAGATAATTACTATTAATCATTATATATCATTGATCCTTATTGATATATGGAGATCAATGGCTGGTATAGATTTCATGGCCAAATGGGCCATATTATATAGATATGATCTTACATATTATAAAGACAATGGCCATATGTTATTATCAAAATCCATCTCTACAGATCTTCTATCAAATAAGACATTGCAATATAAAGATACGTGTCTATCAATCACGGATATCAAAGCCTTAATCAATCGTATGTAGATGAAATATTGTAAACATTGAACTGAGATTACATAGATATCATAGATGGATACTACCTGGAACCATCTATCTAGTAATGTTAGCATACAATGAGTATTATCTGATATTCTTATACATCATTCGGATCCAGTTGTGATTCACTAATACCCACTGTTGGATAATTAAGATAATAGGTGGTTATTGTAATGGTAAATTATTTCTGGCATTAATGAAAATATTGTAATAATAGAAATTAGATGGGTGTTACCCTCTGGTAAATTAACATAGACCATGGCAGTCATAGGGGTTGGAAGATTGGTGAAACCACTAAAAATTGGTGATTTCCAGGGTCCAACTGTTAATTTACAGATGGACACTATGGTAAAAATGGATACTATGGATACCTGGATTAGTTCCTCTAAAAATTGATTAATTTACCAGAGGGTAATGGATACTAATACCAGATGGTTAAGATCCACAATACCTGGATCAAAATTGCTGCGCTTGGTGTTTTAATTTGAGACCCAACCATCACCCATATCAAAATGAATACATAATAATGGACAATATGACTACCGGACAATATACATAGACATGTAGAGAAAAAAATAATTGATAAGTATAGCTAGCGCATAGATAACTAGAATACAGAATACAGCTTATTGTGATGTATCCATTGATCTTTCCACTGGCGCATATGTACACACACATATATATATATTTATTTATTTATTTAGCAAATATGCAAATATACATACATTACATTACATTACATTACATTACAATACATTACATTACATTACCATACCATACCAGACCATACCAAAACATACCATAACACCATACCATACCACTACATACATATATATATATATACAAATATATTATATATATATGCAAAAATATTCAAACATGAATGCACATTGTATATATATAGATATATATATATACATACAAAATCACATATCTGTATACCTGTGCGCGTGGCATTTACCACTAGATCCACTGTCCTTTTTGACCCTCAAAATCACCACATGTTTCACTTCCACATTCGATCTGACCCCGCGCCCTGCATGCCCCGGTCTAAATGATTGATCATGATTCATAACTCTTCTGGCTGAACCCCTATGCTCGGTGATAGAAAAATGTGCTTTTTTCATGCTTCAAACCCCGACTTGTGTTGGTTAAGCAGGATAAAACGGTTGCAGGCTACTGGGATATGCATTGCAGTTGGTAAGTTATATTCATAACCCTACTATCCATCATGTTGAAAACCTAAAATTTTGGTGAATCACCATACTCTTAAAAAACCATCATGAACCATCATGTTGAAGAACTACCCTCTGGTAATTTAACATAGCTATTGAAAGTTCCACCATTTTGTAGCTGGGAAAATCCACTATCAATGGCCATTTTCAATAGCTATGTTAAATTACCAGAGGGTAAACCTCCATTTTCCTATGGTTTTCCTATGGTTTTCCCATGGTTTTCCCATGGTTTTCCCATTAAAACCTCCATTTCTGTTGGTGAAGCGACCGGTGAAACAACGGTCGCCGTTGCAGCCGTGGCGCTGCTTGGTGCTACAACGCCCTGCTGGGTCGCCGCAGGGCAACTGCACCAGGCGCCAGGACTCGGTGGAGCTGTCGGGGCCTGCCACCAAGCGATAACCAGCCAGCAACTAACCAGCAACTAATGGGAAAACCATAGGAAAACCATGGGAAAATGGAGGTTTTAATGGGTAAACCATCTATAAATGGTTAATCCATGGTTCATATTAATGGATAATCTATGGTTAATGGTTAATAGTTACCCTAAATGGTAAACATACAAAAAGCGAACTGGAAAATGGCAATAGAAATAATGAGTTTTCATCTGGCACCTCCCTAGCAACAATCTGGAGTCAATGGGAATTCCAGGATCCTAAAATGGAGGTACTGTACCATATAAGGCCATATTTTCTGGGGATATTCCCGCAAACATAGGCCTTACATAGGCCTTATATATGGTAGGTACCTCCAATTTAGGATCCTGGAATGGCCATTGAAGTGATAAGTAACCAATAATGATAAATAGTCGTTCGTGGTTAACATTGGTTAACTAGCAACTAACCATTAGTTTATAACCAATAGTGCTAGTAATATTAATAATGGTTGTTAACCAATGGTTAGTAATTAACTAGTAATTAACCATTACTAACTATCACTGGTTGATTAATTGTCATTAACTATTAATTAATCAACAACAATAAAGTTGGGAAATTGACATTATCACTGTTTTTTTATGGTTATATATCATGATCATGTATTAGCCAGTCATTATGATAACTATAAATGATCTGGTTAATACTAATCATCGTCATAATCATAGCATTACTATGGCTGTGATGATGATTCTGCTAATGATGATTATTATTATCATTATAATGTATATCACGACTACTATGGTTGTGATATATTGTGATCATTATGATGTTGTGTATGCAGTGTTATGATCCCTGTGATTGCTGTTTTTTTTTAGTGTTATGATTACGATTGCTATTTGTGTTCTTACAACCTTTAAACTGGTACAGTATGACTATCAATGTTGGGATATTTGTGTCATGTATTATCATGGCGTTGCTGACCATTTTTTGTTGGTATAATGCAATTATGCTAATCTTACCATCTGTGAATTTACCGGACAAGTTGGGCTTGAAGTGAACCATGTTTGGGTCTGGGATGGACATGGAAGTCTATGGCCGGCATTGGTTTGGATTCAATCCTTAGTGGGATATGAACAACCAAATATTATCTATATGTGTTTACTTCTCTACAATGCCAATAGTAATGTTGATAATATGTTATAGTAAAATATAATACACATTAAGTTGTTATCTGTCTATTATGTTTTGAGTCCCTATGATGTTGTCTCTCTTGTATATTGGTGATGTTAATCTGAATAGTTGAAGAATAATGTACTCACTGAGAAATGATTGGAAATATATATATATGTATATATATATATATACTATTTTCATTATTACTATTGTGCTGATAATTGGGATGACAAGTGCTGTCCTTTGGTAAACAACAACCTTCAACAACCTCCATCCACGTCCCCAACTCCCCACCATGCCCAGCCACCATACCTGCCTGGCAATATCATAAACCCATCATGCCGACAATAATCATCCTTGGTCTTAGTTTTAGTATGTTTTTACCGTGGTTATTTCGATTTTGACAAAGTCCAACACCACCAGTCTGACCAGTCTGATTCCCCAACCATACCCATCCCCACCCATCCCAGTAATATTGATCATGAAATATCATTGGGAGACAATTTGTTCTTCATATCCCAAGAGTTAAAATCCTATCCCCATCCCATCCCTCCGTACCCACTTTGGTCATGGGTAATGTTGGCGATTCCTGGTCAGCAACTGGGCTCAGTAACACCTCCATTTACTAACTACTCTAGTTCACTACCACCGAGGCCCATCTAAGATATCTAAGCATCTGGGACCATGGTACCGGTTTTTCCCTACTATTGGGATGATCATTACGGTATGATCATTGGGATGATTCCCCCATCCCCATCCCGCTTCTCATCCCAAAAATATCATTGATACCCTCTGGTAAACTAACGTAATTATGGACAATCACCATTTTTTATGGGTAAATCCATTATTTCTATGGCCATTTTCAATAGCTATGTTAAATCACCAGAGGGTAGAGAGGGATAATTCTTCATATCCCAATAATCATCACTATCCCCATCCCAGCACCCATCCGAAACCGGTCTGGTATACCATCCACTCAGTTGTATGGGCCCTTCCAGGAATCCCTCCCAATTGGATTCTTATTTCCAACTCTACTATTATCCCAATGATGACAATTGGATTCTTACTACGATTGGGAGATGACTATTGTCCAATTGGAACATATTGGAACTACCCTCTGGTAAACGTTAACAAAAAAAACTATGGAAAGATCCACCATTTTGTAGATGGGTAAATCCACTATGTCTATGGCCATTTTCAATAGCTATGTTTGACATAACCAGAGGGTATTCTGCGTTATTTTCCCCATAAAGTCAGTAAATATTGTAATTCCAATAGTTTGGAGATGGAAAATCGGTGGAAAAACACTATGATGAAACTATACTATAGTCCATGCTGAAAAAAATATATGCCAATTACTATTGTCCCATCCCCATCCCCAGGCGTTTGCGGCCTGGCTAGTAGATGGATTTTTTTTCACTTACTAGATGCCGAATATCAACATCATATCATATCTATAGAATCTACCTATAGTAGTTTTGGATATCATTAAACAAACATATATATATGTATAATAATATCATATACCCTCTGGTTATTTAACATAGCCATGGAAAATGGCCCATTTATAGATGAATTTCCCATTAGAACCTCCATTTATAAGGGATTTTCCATGGCTATGTTAAATAACCAGAGGGTATCTCTATAGATATTTCATCTCCCGGCCTGGCCAGTAGTAGAGCCCCACCACTCTTTCGCCCGTGCCGATTTTGGCCACTTCGAAGGCCAGGACGCTGCTCAGGCCCAACAGCTCCTGCCGAATCCTGCGGAAAATGGCCGTGGGAAGCGCCACGCTTCGGCGTTCAAAAAGACGTAGGAAACAACGGGATGGAGCCCAGCAATGCTGATGTTCATGTGTTTGTTACGATTTAAAACCAGAAATCATGAAGAATCCACCAAAAACCATGAGTAGATGGTTTGTTCAGAAAAGCTCTGTGAATTCGAGATTGGCATTGGAAACATCATTGTTTTTGAGAATAATAATCCATTAGTGGGAAGTAAATAAACTGAAAAAGTGTTCACTGTGCCAGGTTACATGAACAAAGGGTTTTGTGATTCCATCTAATAAAACTGGTGAGCTTCTGCCAAGCGATGTTTCTTGACATAGGGGCATATATCCGCATGAAAAAAATATGATGGGAAATCCTTCATTCGGCAATTTGATCCATGTGAACATCATTCGATACCCATCCTGCGGCCAACGAAAAATCCGTTGGAAGCCACGCTCTCAATGAAGAGAAAAGGCAACACTTCTTACTATTCTAGCAACCTAGCAACACAGACATTACATAGCAATGACAGATCAGATGAACAGATGACATTCATAATGATCGTTCCGAGTTTTCCCAACTTTCTATGAAACAGTTTCATCACCAGCTTAGACACCTGGGACAAAACATCACCACCTTTCTTGGGCGCCAGGGTGATCAGCTTGGGCTTGGGTCTAGGCCGTGGACCGTGGAATAATGTGAAATCCCAAACAGTTCAAGGGCTGGAACGTCCAAAACCCCCTGAAAGCATAAAATGAAGTTCTGTTCAAAAATCATCCAAGTTCACAGAAACTGTTTCTCCATCCATCTGCATATATTTCATTGGTTCATAACCACTCGTCACCCCCCAAAGTCCAGGAGTCAGTAGCGGTGTAGTCCGGCACCCCAAGGGCGGACAACAAACACCTCGCCAGGTTTTCGCCATGGCATCAGGGATTTTGTGCGTTGGATTTTGGGAGGAACACATAGTTCCAGGAAGCTTAGAACCATCAAAATGGACACCCTCTGGTTATTTAACATAGCCATGGTATAGATGGCCCATTTATAAATGGTTTACCTATTAAAAATGGTGGATCTTTCCATGGCTATGTTAGTCATAACCAGAGGGTACCCATCAACAAAAAACATAGGGAAATGATGGAAAACATACAACAATGAGATCGTATGTTAAAATCTCCTGTCCTTTTTGCTGATCAAAATTCTCGGATTTGCATCCCATCATTATTATAATCAGCAAAAAAAATGATCGGAACATGGATGTGTCATGTCAAAAAAAAACATCCTATGAATGTTCATTCACTATTATCCCCATGATGGCATAGAAAGGAATTGTCCATATTATGATAAATTTGCGGGACATGCCAATAATTACTGCTAATATGAATCATGTTAACATATCATGAAGGATAGTGTGATAATTATTGATAATTGATATTATCCATCCATGATGGATGGAAATTATCACATTATTACCCGGTGGTAAACAAACATAGCTATTGAAAATGGCCATTTATAGTTGATTTACCCAGCTACAAAATGGTGATTTTCAACAGCTATGTTAGTTTACCAGAGCGTATCTAATTATCCATACACTCCTTATCGTGAATTGGGTTGGTCTAGCAACATCCCCATTTTTTTGGCGATCCTCCCCGCTCTCGATCAGTGCACTGCACTGTAGCGCTTGCAACCCGATTGTAGTCCTCTCTAGTAAACAAGACTAAGACAGCAGAAAATCCGGATGATGTGGTTTAAGATGGTTTAATAGGGATGATAATGGGATAATGATAGGATAATATTGGGATACTAATAGATATACCGATCTACCCCCCAGTAATTTAACATAGCTATGGAAAATAACAATTGTTAATAGCCAAATCGACTCAAAGAGGTGCCGTGTTCCATAGCTATGTAACAAATTCTATACCATCCCAATATCTGGATGATTTTCTTAGACTAATTGCCCATTGTCCATTCTCATGTTAAAATATGTTAAAATGCCAAAGGATCACCCTTGTTGACCCTTGTTGAGGGTACCCTCCGGCAATCCAAGCAACGGAAGCCACCCCTTACGTCCACATCCATGTATAGATGTTTTTCCATGAAAAGCTGTGACGTTCCATTCCCAAGTCTACCAGAGCGTAGATACGTCCCTGATCTGCAACTGGTCCCATGTTTTGGAAGAACATCTCCGAGGCACAGCATGGTGGCATAGTGGGCGCTAAAATGTGTCAGCCGCAGATCTGGATACTTGACCTCATCCTGGGGCAGAGGCAACCTCAAAATAATCCCTGAATCCAACGTAGGGAAGCCGTAGGGCGGTCTGGGCCTCACGTGCGGTGTTTTGAACCATAGCATGAGATAGGATTTGAATTACCCTCTGGTGAACTAACATAGCAATGGAAAATCACCATTTTTAATGGGAAAATCCACTATTTCTATGGCCATTTTCAATTGCTATGTTAGTTCACCAGAGGGTAGGAGCTATCCACCCTTCCCCTGTTCTCCCCGTGTCCAGCAGCCGCAGGCCCACTTCGTGCAGTAAGGCGCCACCGCATTTGGTGCCTGATTCCCCGAACATCTCTGGCCACGTTCCACTAATTTCAGCTCGATTTGATTGATATGGCCATGAAAAAGTAAGGTTACCAGTAGATTCCGCAAATCCTGGACTAACCAACAGGAGATAGAAAATCATCAGCAAATCAACCTGGATAGTTGCAAATCATCCGCAAATTCAACTGCATCACCACAAAAAAAAATCAGCAGAAACATCAGCAAATCCTAAGGTCCTAAGGGAGGGATTGAAATTGGAATTTCATGGATTTTAGATTGTAAATAGCAATAATTTCTATGATAAAATTCTTTCTAACTTCACCAAAAACTGGCGTCCGCGCCTGCCAACTTGGGCCCAAACTTGACCGCCTCAAGCCAGGCCGCCAACGTCTCCGCCTCCTGTAGGTCGCTGGCGTTCACCGCGCTGCCCGTGGGCGCCTACCATGGCTGCGATGGCTGGGATGGCTGGTGAAGGAGATGCACCTGGCAAAAAAATGGGGACACAGCTGGTTTTAACATGTTTTAACATGTTTTAACATGTTTTGATCCACAAAACTGGTGAACATACTGGTTTGATGGTTGTTTCTCAACCCCTCCGCGAAGCCCATAACACAGAAGCTCCCATGACGCTCCGGCGCCCACCCTTGGGGTCCTGTGCGGCCACTGCGATCTCATCGTAGGTATTCCACCAGTCCTCAGCCAGACCCATGGATCGACAAAACTTTTTGCTGGATCGCCATCCGAGCCATTGGATACATTCGATCTACCCAACCTGGTAATGACTAACAGTTCGCCATGGTTTTGATGGCCCATTTATAGATGGTTTACCTCTTAAAAATGGTGGATCTTTCCATGGCTATGTTAAATAAGCAGATGGTAGCTGGTGTAATCACCAAGCAATGAAAAACTGATGATGTAGATGAACAGCTGTGAACAAAACGGGTGATGGTGAGAATAATGATAGCACTCACCGCAGGGTATCTGCTGGTTCCAATACAAGGGGCATTGAAAGTAAATATGAACAGCAGTAACAGCCAATCAACAACGATGACATCGCAATTGACATATATATATATATATCAACAATGATACAATTGTTAGCCCCAGGTTGGTAAACTCTGTTTTTTTAGGGGCCTAGTACCGAAATAGTGATAAATTATGATAAATTACGATTAAGATTGGTCCCACCTACTAGTAAACTGATAGTTTATTCACCCTGGGCTCAGCCCTGTGCCCCAATTGGCAATAACAACTCCTCAACAGCGCTGATATCAAAACTGAATATAATTGAGATATCAACCAAGATACTAATGTCAACCCTTGCTCAACAAACTCTTTGTCCATCAACCGGAGGTTACCCCAAACGAGTGATAACTGACTATCAACCCTGGGTTAATTTTAGTGTAATGCCCATAAACCCAATGAGACAATGATAAACCATCCCCAATATTTTACCACCAATGGGTAGGATTCAAATGATCCCCCAATGGTAGCTTTGGTGGCTTTAGGACATTGGGTTTTACCACTATATTAACCAATATTGACCAAGTGTGTCAACTTCATCAAGTATTAGCCAATATGAACCAATATCAAGCAATCATAAAACTACCAAAGGGTCATTTGTCAACTATTAGACTAATACTGACAAACTACTCTAAATACTGTACCCTCTGGTAATTTAACATAGCTATTGAAAACGGCCATTTATAGTGAGTTTTCCCATTAAAAATGGTGATTTTCCATAGTTACGTTAGTTTACCAGAGGGTAAATCACTATAAATTACGAATCCATTCGTGCACAAAAAAACCCTCGCACTGGTTCACTGCCCAGCATCTGCCAAGGGAGCTGCTGTCCCATCCTCGGAGATGTTTACTCTGCCTGACGAGGGGCCATCATTCCAATGATGTCACGATGTAAAGTGATTATCAAATTCATCCAGGTTATGTACATTTATTTATTTATTTATCTATTTATTTATGAACATTTATTCGTTGTGTAATCTATATTATATATATATATATGCAAATTTTATATGTAAATACATTATATATATATATACCTATTATACATATATCATGTATACATATTATATATATATGTGCATGTTATATTATATATGTTATGGTTTATTAAATTATTTTATATTAGATTATATTATATGACCTTATATTTTATATATCATTTATATATATATTATGTATTCTATATTACATTATACATATACACCCACTAATATCCATTCAAAATCCTTCTTGGTCCATAGGAATATCGACATCGGTCTGCTTTGATTTGTATTACCGTCCAGGAAATCCACTGAAACAATGGCTTCGTTCAGGTTCGTTCAATGGTAAACTCCGATCATTGGAATACCCCTATAACTATAACTGTGGTTTTATAAGGTTATAAATATATATATATGATGTATGTGTATAATATATATATATATATCCATATACATTTAGTTCAGTGGACTTTCAGGTGGCTTTAAACCATGTTCAAAGCTACCATGAGTTGATTTTCATCTCCACTCTGTCGGACGGTGGGTTTTGGTCAGATGGATGCCGCAACTTGCAGGATGATCTTAACGTTTCAAAAAAACTCAGGTGCTATCCCCAACAGCTTGAAAGTTTCTGCGTTTTTGCTATAAAAATAGTGTTTGTGCCATAAAAACAACGGAACCCTTTGGAATTTCACAAAGCATCTGCACCAGAACCCTCCGGAACCTCACAAGGTCTCTGCACTGGAACCCTCCGGAACCTCACCAAGAATCTTCTCCGCCAAAACCCTCCGGAGCCTCACAAGGTCTCTCTGCATTGGAACCCTCCGGAACCTTCTCCGCCAAAACCCTCCGGAACCTCACGAGGTATCTGCACCAGAACCCTCCGGAACCTTGTCCGGAACCTGGTGTTGAAGCTGCACCGGATCGCACCGGAGCTAATCTGGGCTAAAGACCCCATAGCAAAGTTTTGCTACTGGGGAAAAACTTAAGCATCAAACCAGCCTCTTTTGATCAAAATCCACCATGATTTCTCTGGAAATCTCTGACGATCCATACGATGCCAATCCACCGGCCACACCTAAGAGCTGCGCCATCCGACTCCGAAACGCTTTGGTCTCGGAGGCCTTCCTTGGGGGATGACGGGGTTGGCCTGCTGCAGTCCCAATGTTACAGGGATATATATATAGAGAGAGAGATAGATAGATAGATAGATAGATAGATAGATAGATGGATAGATAGATAGATAGGTGGATAGGTAGATAGGTAGATAGATAAATATATATATATATCAATGGAATAAATATGGAATAAACATGGGTTGGGCTTGATGCATTTGGAGATGGATTGAAACTTATGATTGTTCATTTCCGCGAGGGTCAACAATGACAAACATGCATAAACATGAACATATATGTATGTGTAAATATATATCTGGGTATGTATGTATGTATGTGTGTAGGTGTGTATGTATGTATGTATGTATGTATGTATGTATGTATGTATGTATGTATGTATGTATGTATGTATGTATGTATGTATGTATGTATGTATGCATGCATATGTATATGTATATGTATATGTATATGTA